TTGTTAGGTCAAGGTTATCAAGATATATAAAGCTCTGTGAGTGGTGGCTCTGGAAGTAAGTACATTTTCCTCTTTCCACTTCACTCTTCATAAAATTGACTATCCTTCTCTGTCTAGGCACCTTTATAGAGCCCAGCCAGATAATGGAACAGTACCCAGGGTTTTTATAGCTACACTTAGTTTCCTTCAGGTGTTTAACCACTTAGTTTCCTTCAGGTGTTTTTATCATCCAGATGAGGAAATAGTAGAGATATTGATTGTACTGTCCAATTGGTTTGATCAAAGCATGATAGATAAAGAGCTCTAGCTTTCTCTCTTTGTTCCAGGGTGACATCATCCATTGACCTTACCAGCTGGTCCTACAAAGCGCCTCCTTAAAGGAGACTCGCTTTTAAGATGTGACAATACACGAAAACATAGCAAAGTTTCAGAAGTGTTATTTTAGTTTTCCCCCCCAAAAAACCCCCCCAATTCTCCCTTAAAACATCTTGATTTAAATCATGCTCTTAAGAGACCAAAAATAAAGTAGTCTTCATTAAAATAACATAGTTGGTTTACTCACAAACTTAATGTATTCAGCATACAGGTGCATTACTTATCAGTCCATTTACAGATAGGATTTGAAGTAGTTTCTCTGTACATATAACACAGGGCATTTTTCTTATAATCAAGTCCAAAGTCTAAAACATCTCTCTGGTCTGAGAGTCTAATAGAGTCCCTAAAGCATTCTGTTTCTCCTAGTGTCTGTAAAGCATACTGTTTCTAAAATGAAGTCTGAGTCTGAGCAATCTCAGATCTGATCACATGGTCTTCAGCCCCTCCCACAACACAGAGTTAAGAAAAACTGCATACCAATACACACATATACAATACAGTAAAGAATCTGAATTATATACAAACAAATTACTAGTGGAGGCTTGAAGAAGGCTGCTATTTCCAAGAATGAGTGCATAGGTACCATGGGTACATCTAAACTGTGAAATTAATGCAGTTTAACACCCCTTTAACTGCCATGGCTCAATGCTATGGAATTCTGGAAGCTCTGATTTTACAAGGCCTTCAGCTTTCTCTGCCTAAGGATGCTAGTGCCTTACCAAACAACAAGTCCCACGACTCCTTCAAATTCAGCCATGGCAGTCAAAGAGGTACCAAACTGCTTTAATTTCTACATCCCTTCTCAGCCCAAATGACACTGGAGCCTGTGAAAAGTCACTGCAATGGGAAAAGACCAGCCGAGATTTGTGCAGAGTTGCCACACTAAGGGTGCAGCTACACTGCAGAACTAATGCAATCTGACACCACTTTTAACTGTCATGGCTCAAAGCTATAGAATTCTGGGAGTTGTTTGATAAGGTACCAGCACTCTTTGGCAAAGAAAACTAAAGCTCTTGTGAAACTACAAATCCCATGATGACACAGTACTGAACCATGGCAGTTAAAGTGAGCCAAACAGCTTTAATTCTAAAGTAATTATGCACAACCTAAACTTGCCTTAGGAGGAGAGGCAGTTCCTTCGTGTGAAGATGTGTTAACTTGGTTATTCACATGGGTAGTTTGCTTTCTCTCAAGTGTGGAAACATGTTCTTATCCTTATTTTCTAAGATATAGTATATAGATTTCCGCTTTGGAAAGTCCCTGGTGACTTCAAAGCATGTCCTTTTAAAAAGAATCCAACCAGTTAGCCTTGAGTCTCATCTTGGGAGGAAGGAGAAATATAAATACAGTAAATAATTAACTAAAGCAAGATAACAGCCTGGTATGTGTTGACTTAATGGCAGAAACGGCATGCAAATGGGATTATCTTCACAAGATTTATTCCCAGAGAGTTTACACTGCTTTGTAAACCCCATGGGTTTCCTTGGCCAAGTGGGAATTCATCCCAGGCTCCTTAAGAGTCATAGGATGCATCTACACTATGGAATTAATGCAGTCTGACACCACTTGAACTGCCGTGGCTCAATATTATGGAGCCAGTGGAATTTTAGAAGGTCTTTAACTTTCTCTTTGGTGCCTCATCAAATTGATTCCAAAGCATTGAGCCATGGCAGTTTAGAGTGGTATTAAATTGCTTTAATTCTACAGTGTAGATGCTGTTAGAAATGACAACCTTCTTCTTACTAGCCTTCTCTAGTAATGTTTATCTATGATCCTGTTGCTTCCTAATTCCTGTATGTTCTGCTGTGCAGCTTCTTTATGGTACCTGAGAAGTTTCAAAAGACACTGCAGATCACATGCTCTTTCTATCTCTCCTTTTGACTATTTAACCAGTTTTGTGGTTATTGTTGTTGTGTCAGGAGTGACGAGAAACTGCAAGTCACTTCTGGTGTGAGAGAATTGGCTCTGCAAGGACTTTGCCTAGGGCTTGCCTGGATGTTTGATGTTTTACCATCCTTGTGGGAGGCTTCTCTCTGTCCTTGCATTGAGAGCTGGAGCTGATAGAGGGAGCTCAACCTGGTCTCCCTAAATTCAAACCACTGACCTATCGTTCAGCAGTTCTGCTGGCACAAGGGTTTAACTGGGGGCTCCTAACTATCTAAGATGAATTTAGACTGTGGGAAACTGAAACATGGTCATTAATCAACTATCTAAGATGAATGACCATGTTTCAATTTCCCACAGCCTAAATGAAAGTTGTGAGTAAACCAAATATGTCAGTCTACTTCATTTTTGTCTCTTGAGTGCATGATATAAAACAAGTTGTTTTATGGGAGAGTATATATGTATTTTGGCCACTGAAAAATATTTCTAAAGCTCTGCTGCTTTTATGCACTGGCAAATCTCTGTTTTTCTAACAGATCAGAGATAACAGGTTATTCAGTCTAACAACTGAATCCACTGCCTTCCATAATTATATCTGACTGTATACCACAAAATAAGATTATACTAGTCTACGGGTTTTTGGCTCTTCTCCGAAAGGACATACTTTTCTCAATAAGGTTATGATCCCCAAATGGTGTTTTTCCAAAAGCTTATGAATGATGCACTCTTAGTCCAATGCTCAAACCACTAGAGCACATTGCTTCATGTAAATCTATGGCCTAGCAAATGTGGCAGTCATTTTTTTTACTGAAGTAGAGGATTATTTTTTAGCCAAGAAGCATACTCTTGCATCTTCCCTCAGCAGCAAAATAGCTGGGGAGACGAACCTTCCATTCTTCATAAGAAGCCTTATTCGAAACTAAGATACTAAGACAGTTTCGTTTTGTCTCCTGCCTATATCATCATTTGGGAGCCCCCCCCCCCATCACTCTGGGGGGGGGCTACAGCTGAAGAAAGTTCCATCTTGTTTCCTGTGCTTTACTAATAGTATAATATAATATATTGTATATACATATATTTATAATATTATAATATAATACAATATAATACTAATAATAATACAAGATTATAATTATTTTATATTGCATGTAATATTACTAATAATATTACAATATAATGATGTAGTACAATATGGTACTATGCTAATATTTTAATATATTGTATTTATGTATGTCTTGTAAGCCGTTCTGAGTGCCCTTCGGGGTTAAAAGGGTGGCATATGTTGTTGTTCATTCGTTCAGTCATTTCCGACTCTTCGTGACTTCATGGACCAGTCCACGCCAGAGCTCCCTGTCAGTCATCACCACCCCCAGCTCCTTCAAGGTCAATCCAGTCACTTCAAGGATACCATCCATCCATCTTGCCCTTGGTCAGCCCCTCTTCCTTTTTCCTTCCATTTTCCCCAGCATCATTGTCTTCTCTAAGCTTTCCTTTCTTCTCATGATGTGGTCGAAGTACTTCATCTTGGCCTCTACCAGGCCCGTAGCTAGGATTTTGTTTTGGGGGGATCTGAGTTTGATTCGGGGGGGGGGGGGCTGAGTCTGAGTGAAAGAGGGTCTACCTTAGCAAACCTTTTGTATCATTATCCCAATACCCCCATGCATATGGAATATATTGAGCATGGTGATCAGATCATGATATGAATAAACATAACAGTTTAAATAATGTACCAGTAAGGCCTTCTTGCGGGCCATCATGAGAATTTGGGGGGGGGGGCGGCTGAAGCTTTCCTGTCTTCTCATGATGTGGCCAAAGTACTTCATCTTGGCCTCTAATATTCTTCCCTCCAATGAGCAGTCAGGCTTTATTTCTTGACGTATGGACTGGTTGGATCTTCTCGCTGTCCAAGGCACTCTCAGCACTTTCCTCCAGCACCACAGCTCAAAAGCATCTATCTTCCTTCACTCAGGCTTCCCTATGGTCCAGCTCTCACATCCGTAGGTGACTACGAGGAATACCATTGCTTTGACTATGTGGATCTTTGTTGCAAGTGTGATGTCTCTACTCTTCAGTATTTTATCCAGATTGGTCATTGCTCTCCTCCCAAGAAGTAAGCGTCTCCTGATTTCTTGGCTGCACCTAGAAATACGAAGTCTGTCACTGCCTCCACGTTTTCTCCCTCTATTTCCCAGTTGTCAATCATTCTTGTTGACATAATTTTGGTTTTTTTGATGTTTAACTGCAACCCAGCTTTTACGCTTTCTTCTTTCACCTTGATTAGAAGGCTCCTCAACTCCTCCTCGCTTTCGGCCATCAAAGTGGTCATCTGCATATCTATTTATACATATATTTATATATGTCTTGTAAGCCGTATATTATATATTATATATTTATATGTGTCTTGTAAGCCGCTCTGAGTGCCCTTCGGGATGAGAAGGGCGGCATATAAATGTCATAAATAAATAAGATCCCACCCTCTCTGACCTCAAAAAACACAAACCTCTACCGGCTTCCCTCACTATACTAGAGTATTTATGCCCTACTCCAATGAGCGACAACCAATCAGGCTGCGGATGCGGCTATCCGTTCTCCTCATTGGCTGGCTTGGAGAGTGCTGGTGACGGCCACACCCCGCCCATTGGCTCTCGTCGCTCCGCCCCCACCGAGGCAAACCATGAGATTCATCCAATGGGGCGCCGCCCTTTGCAGCCCCGCGCGCTCCTATTGGCTGGGAGGAGTGCCTCGTCCTCGTTTGTACTCCGAGGTCATGGCGACACAGCGGTCGTGAAGGAGGCTGTCCAAGATGGCGGCCGGGCGGAAGGGCCGGGGAGTCGAACACCTTCCCCGGCCGCTCGCGGCTTTCCCCGCCGCTTTCGCCGCGCTGCTGTTGCTGAGCAACCACCGGGCCTGGGCCTTGGCGGCCCCCTCCTGCCACCATCGCGTCCCCGGCACCAACGAGGTGAGAAGGACCCCAAGGGAAGGGGAAAGGAAGGGAAGGGGCTTCATGCTCACAATAGATCTAAAATGTTCCCTTGCTTGCCCAAACTTTATTTTATGCCGATACAGAGACTCATGGCATGATGCAAAATTAAAAGCAGAGCAAAATGCATTTAAACACGAAATCAGTAATTTTAAAACCCCACATCTTTTGTGTTATGATGCATACAAATGAATACGGTAAAAATACAATTGGAAACTATGTTGTGTATAGCATTGCCTTCAGGCTATGTGTTATGAATGTCGTGTTTGGATTTGGGTCCCATTTCCAGCAAGGCATTTTGTAATGTGGATGCAAATATTCTACAATCCAAAACGCCTCTGGCCTCCAGTTTTTTGGATAAGGGATACTCCATCTGCATTTAGAGCCCAGGCCTGGTGTAGATGCCCCCGGGGTTTGATTCCCAGCTCAGTCGTGGAACCCATTGGGGTGACCTTGGGCAGACTGCAAACTCTCAGCCACAGAAAACTCAATGAGAGTTGCCATAAGTCTGAAACAACAGCAACAATAGGACTTAAACGGATCCGTGGAGCTGAAGTACATAAAGAAAAGCAAGTGTGTGTGCTTGTATTCTGTTTTTCTCATGCTGATTGTTCTGTGATATGTATTGTTTGCATTTCAGTTTTTTTAAAAATATTTTGTTCCAGCTGCTAGTATGAAGCGATCCATTGAAATCAGGGGTAGGTTAGTCATGCCACTTTTTGTAGTCTGTGCTGGACAGAGTTACACTCCTCCTGAAGACACAGATTTGCAGCTTGAGTGTTTTACTGGATTCATCACTGAGTCTGGAACCTCAGGTTTCAGCAGTGACCAGGAGAGCTTTTATTATTATTATTATTATTATTAACTTTATTTGTACCCCGCTAGCATCTCCCGAGGGACTCGATGCGGCTTACACAGGCCGAAGCCTCAAAACACAATACAGTAGAAAACATAACACAACAATAGCAAAGCAAATCAACAATAAGCAATAACGACAATAACGATACATCAAAACATTGTTAAAACTGGCTCGGCCGGCGCAATGGGTACAAGGAATTAAAAGTGCTGAGGTGGTAGGGGCACGTGGGATTAAAAGTGCGGTGTGCAGTAACAATTAATTATGCTAAGGTGCTATCAGAACTTGGGTGGGGATTCTTAGTCTGAAAAGGCACAGCGGAACAACCAAGTTTTTAAATTCCTTCTGAAAGCAGCAAGAGAATTAAAACTTGTGTGCCAGTTGCACCTGTACCTTGGAAAGTTAGACTTGGCCACAGTGGTCCACACTCTCGTTACATCCCAAATCGATTACTGCAATACATACAAGAAAGGAGATTCCATCTGAACATGAGGAAGAACTTCCTGACTGTGAGAGCCGTTCAGCAGTGGAACTCTCTGCCCCGGAGTGCGGTGGAGGCTTCTTCTTTGGAGGTTTTTAAACAGAGGCTAGATGGCCATCTGTCAGGGGTGCTTTGAATGCAATATTCCTGCTTCTTGGCAGGGGGTTGGACTGGATGGCCATGAGGTCTCTTCCAACTCTTTGATTCTATGATTCTATGATTTCCTTTGAAGACTGTTCAGAAGCTTCAGATGGTCCAATGGACAACAGCCAGGTTCCTTACTGGAGCGGTGTACAGGGAGCACACAACTCCGATGTTGTGTCAGCTCCACCGGCTGCCAATCTGCTACTGAGCACAATTCAAATGGTTCCGGTGTAGCAGGCTCAGTTGGTGGGGAGGAGAGTCAGGGCCTTCCCAGTGGTGGCCCCTCAGCTATACTCCCTCACCAAGGAAATCAGGTCAGTCCCCTCTCTCCTGATCTTCAGGGGAACAAAAACTTAAGATGTGGCTATGGGACCAAGCATTCAACCAGTAATTGAAGCAGTGCAATAACTATAACGAATTGACATGATTGACAAATAGACAGGACTTGGACAGCATTTTGAATTTGCGTGATTTTAATTGTTGTTTTAATAATTAATGTTTTTAAATGTTTGGACTTTTAATTGTGTTTGCTTATTTTAGGATTTATATGGGTTGGCATAAAATCGCTTCCTGTTGTAAGATTGTCCTGAGTCCCCTTCAGGGTGAGATGGGTGGGGTACAAATGTGGTAAATAAATAAATAAATAGTTTATCTGTTCATGGTTTTACCCATCAAACATCTGAATGGCCTGTGTCATACCACCTTTCAAAATGTAGGTCAAGGGACATGATTTGTCTTCCTTTCTCCTATTACATTCTGCCTCACTCCAACCATGATATAAATATAATTCTGTATTCCATTTGAGTTATATTCATGAAAGTTCATGGTATTCATGTTTGTTTAAATGTAAATTGGTCTCTACTTTTTTTAAATCAGACCAGAAGCGACTTGAGAAACTGCAGGTTGCTTCTGGTGTGAGAGAATTGGCTTATCTCCACTAATTTCTGCATTAGCATCCATAAGACAATGCCCTAGATTTGTTTAGCAACTGGGACCTTTTGATTTGGATGGCTATTAAGAAAATTGTATTCTCTTAATCATGATGCTCCTATTTTAATGACCTGATGCTCTTATTTTATTTTAATGCTATACAAATGTAAATTTGAGGACCAATAACTCTCTGACAATTCATGCACATCAGACAAAATATTTTTTTCTGCAGTATTGGTTCTGGAGGTGAAGTTATGGTTGTGCAGTTTTGTATCAAAAATCAAAGTAATTCTTGACATGTTCTGTTAATAATATCCAGTTAATTGAGCTTTCATTATATTTCCATGTGGCCATTTAATGATATGTGCTTTAAATTACATTATTATTTTCAGGCTTGAACCGTAAAAATGTTAAAGGAGTTCTGTAAGAAAATTTAAAGGTATAAAGTAAAAGTTCGATATATTTCAAAAACTGTTTGCATAAATATTCAAGAAACACTGATTGTTCATACTTCATATGTTGCCTATATATTTTGCAGCGAATAATAGGGCAAAGTTTAATGTACATCCAGTGAATATATCATCCTTAAATAAGGTAGAATTAATTGAAATCTGTATATTTATTTCCGAGTGAAACTAGTAACTGAGGCCCCATCTGCATTGACTATTTCATGCTGTTTGAAACTAGCTTCAAACTTCAGTGACCAGACTAGACACTCACAAAAGTGTGCAAAAGAAAGCCCTTATTGTGTATCAGTGCTCTGTGGTTTACACAATCACCATCTAGGCCACAAACTGGTTCTAGTATTTCCCATATAAACATCTGCACAGTTCAACCACTTTTTTCAATACCTATTTGAAACTGCATTAAATCGTCAGTGTAGATAGGACCTGAGCAGAAAACCGTAATGAGTTAGTTGGGATAACCCCCCCTCGCCCCCGCTGCCAAGTGAACACACATAACATTGGATTGCATCTACACATCTTATAAAAGTAAAATGTGAAATGGAAGAAATAAGGTGTGAATCTCTATTGCTTTATATTATAAAAACAGTTTGTCAGATGCACTTATTCTTTGTTCAGGTTATCTACAAAGTTTATCTTAAAGAAAATCATGTTATGAAGAGAAATGCTGATCAACAACTAAGAATTAAGACTGTGTATGACAGAAGTGTTGAGGAGTAAGTATAACAGCACTCTCCCAAACTCCTATTGTGACTTGGAATTGATTGTTGGGGAGGACAAGGCTACTGTATTATCTCTTATTATCTCTTCTCCCTTCTGCTTTCCCTAAAGAAAGTGAGGAATAAGAAGCAGTGTGTCAGTAATGAATGTGGGATAGCTAGCTTTGGGGAAAGGAATGACAGTAAGTGAGTTGGAGATGATACTTTCTACACATAGAAAACAATTTCTTTCTCTGATTTCTTTTTTCTCTCATAGTTTGCTGCCGGAAAAAAAACACCTTATAAAGGTATGTCATGTTCTTCCTATATGTTTGTGGGGAGTATCATTGAATGGAGTGGTTGAATTGTTCCAGGTCAAAGGTTTGCATGATCCATGCCTGCAATAACTTCATCTTTGTCTTGTAAACACTTGGCCTCTAAAATTGTTTTTTGAAACTTGGTGCTTGGCATTTTGTGTTTGCTTCAGCATGTAGAAATGAGGAGCAAGTCACATAATTCAATGCCATCTTTTCCTTCCTGGTTCAAATTCCACAATCCTTCCTTCTGGCAGCTTTAATAAAGTTGCAATGTTAGCATCCATGTAAATTCTGGATGTGATTATTACTAACGAGAGGTATTTAACCAGGTTAAAAAGGAGTTATAATTTCTGTTACCAGTATCGTTTACAGTATTTATAATCTCAAATTACACAAGTCCATGTATTTATTTTTATGGTATAAGAACACCAAATACTTTTGGTTAAATGTATGCTTACTGTATTCACAAAAATGTGAAAAGACTTAGTAAATATAATGAGCTATGTGACTTCATTTTTTAGAATATGATCACATATTTTAGTATAAGCAGGTTTGCTTTGTTGTTTTTTTCTTTTAGAATAAGATTTTCCCACAAGCTATTTCTTATTTAGAGAAGACATTTCAAGTTCGCAAACCTGCTGGTACTGTATTATTAAGCAGGTATGTATTATCTTTACATTGTTTAATACTAAGAACCAAAATAAAAATCTTTATTATGATATCGTTGATTGCATAGCGATCAGTGTTGTTCTCCTCCTCCTGCCCTCAAGTGTAAGTGTAACTCCATATTGATGAGGTCAGTTTGGACAACATGTGGGCTGCTCTTTAACACACACTGCATTTCCCACTGCCTCCACTGAAATCAGGCACACAAATTGCAGAGCAGAGATCTATAGGTTTGAGTCAGATAGAGCTCTGTGCTGTGATTCAACAAGGATCAGTGGTGCAGGAAGACACTCAGATACATGTCGGTTAAGTAAACTGAGTGCAGAAATGTATTGTCGAAGGCTTTCATGGTCAGAATCACTGGATTGTTGTAAGTTTTTACGGGCTGTATGGCTACGTACTAGAACCATTCTCTCCTGACGTTTTGCCTGCATTTGTGGCAGGCATCCTCAGAGGTTATGAGGTCTCACAACCTCTAAGGATGCCTGCCATAGATGCAGGTGAAACATCAGGAGAGAATGCTTCTGGAATATGGCCATACAACCCGAAAACCGTACAACAGCTGAGTGTAGGAAGTCACTAAATGTACGTAACAGATATGTTAATTGCCTGTGATTTCTAACATCCTTACTTATAATACCTCCCTATTTTGTGGGATGGTTCATTTCTTTAGTAAATGTCTGATTATGATTTGCTTGAAGACAGTGTGTAACAAACCAGTATTTAAGGAAGAAGGATGACCCTCATAGATACTGCAGAGGAGCCTGTGCGGAGTTTACAAAGTGTGGACCAGTTATAGTCCCTGAGGAACACCTTCAGGTAATGCATTTTCATTTCTTTAGTGTATAAGTGACATTAGAATTTTTATTCCATATCTTACAATAGTTTAAAACATTTTATTATACATCTGTAATAAGCACCCTCAAAATATGTCGCAACCAGTCCTTTTATAAGTTGCAAGAGCTCTAGAGATAAGATCTAAGATAGCTGACCTGCTACAGACTGCTTTGAAATCATGAAGGAGGCTGTCATGGTAAGGAGATTTAATTCCACATAGGATCATCCTTCTTTGGTACCTGGCCAAATAAGGCCAGCCTTGCTGTGGCATCACAAACTAAACCAGTGGCAGCTGGAGAACAGGGATAACGCACTGTGGTTTCAAAGCAAATCTGTTGTCTGAGACATTAAAGGGGTCAAATTAAGAAAAAAGAAAAGTAGTGTTTAAGGGCAGACAGAGATGAGACGACTAGCTGTTGAGTTGAGTGGATTAATGATGCATCTAAACTGTCAATCTGAGTGCAAAGGCATTCGATGCTTCACTAAGTCTCATAATGTGTTATATTGATACATCCTGATTAGTTTTTAAATATCAGTCCATTGTCTTTTAATGTTTGAATATATGATGATAACAAGTTTATTTGTACCCTGCCACCATCTCCCTGAAGAGACTCTGGGTGGCTAACAAAAGCACGCAACATTGCAAACATACAAAATATAATAAGTGCGCAAACAATATCACAACAATAATAATGGTAACAAACAGCATAAAATCAAAAACACCACTAGTTGAAAACAATAAAATCCAATAGTAGTATATTTATTTATTGGAAGCTTCCTTGGGAGTATTATTTCTGAAAAGCAGGATATATTAATGAGTTAAATGGGGTCCAACCCATCTCTACTAGTCTGTCCTGTGTTTACTGCCTTAATTTCTTTGAATTTGGAATTATGTGAAACAATTGAAAAGCAATATTTTTTTCTTTGTTAATAGCTTTGATCAGATTATGAGAGATAATTCAGCTTGTCTGTCATTTCTTTGATGCCAAGTTTTGATGATCACTACAGTTGAATGTACATGTAATAGACCATATGTTTGCATATATTATCTGTGTTCCAATGTTTGTACATTTTATCCATCTGTCTTATGATATAAATGCACTGCATATTTGCATGCCTGGGGTTTTCAAAGTCTGTTCTTCAAAAGCTATATCTTCAAGTCTTTTAGGGAAAAAAATATTGAAACTTTGAGTTGGAAGATTTTTTCCCCAAAGAAAACGTGAGGAGAAATATTCCATATGCAAGAACATTTGACCATTTCCTTTTCCTAATTTTGCAAACTGCTTTCTGGGCTTTGAGCTCTTAAGAAAAAACACTGTGGAGTCCCAAATGTATTTTTTAACATCAACTCATAGGAAAATACTCAAATATGTATCTTCCTTTGAGAATTGATCATTACCAATAATACAGAGTCTGTATTAGTAGCAAGGGGGGAAATTATGGTTTGGATCTTTCCTCTGTCTAAGAATTTTTTTAAAAAAACTTTCTGTACTTAAAACGGAAGTTTTGAGCAAAATGACTTTTATTTAGAAGTAACTTCTCTTAAATGCAATATCCTAGCAATGTAGAGTTTGCAGTGAAAATGGATGGCTTTGTGGACCTGTTGGTGATCCAGACAAAGAAGGGGTTCAAGATGCTGACTTTGTATTATACGTTAGTGCTCTGACGACAGAAAGGTGTGGCCAAGAAAATATCATTGCCTATGCAGCATACTGTCAGCTTGAAGCAAATATGGACAGGTAACATTTTCTTCMAAGTTAAATTTAATGCATAYGGGATAAGCATAAYAGCTGTACCGATGTACGCAAATGGATCTTGTAGGACCTTCTAGACCAGTGGTTCTCAACCTGGGGTCCCCAGATGTTTTTAGGCTTCAACTCCCAGAAATCCTAACAGCTGGTAAACTGGCTGAGATTTCTGGGAGTTGTAGGCCAAAAACATCTGGGGACCCCAGGTTGAGAACCACTGTTCTAGACTATTGAAACAAARAGATTGGTATRATAAACATACTGATTTGGTTGTGCTCWTCTGTTCAGGAAGTAACAGGTAGATAGARAAACAAGTCTTGAGCGTACTTTGGGAGTGCTGACTCACTCTTACTCTTAAATAAGCCAMCAATKTATGTTTTGAAGTTGTCTTTCATTYGATTATATTTGTTTTGTCCATCACCCAGTATATACAACATTGTTTTATGTGTTAATAGATTAGAGGTGATGTTGTACAATGTGGRCATGTAATCGAAAGCTAGGCATATAAGCARCTACTGTAACAAATRACATAGGGAAATATTTGCTATTCTGATGTTGCTTGTTTCAAGATCTACTACATGTTTTCCAATTCTTGGAAAGRAAAAAAAAATAGGGTTATCTACTTTGGATGAACACCACTAGTGGAGAAGCATTTTCTCTCTTTTATTAAATTCTCTGCCTAGTTGTTCCAATTTTTGAGAGCTGCATTAAATGGAAAAACGTGACTCTTCTTTTCATGAAGTGGATTCACATTTTGTCCAATTATTGAAGAAAAATGACATTTGACTGAGCGATATCATATAATGAAATGTAAAAATCTTGCATTTAAACCCAATTCTGCTTGAAAGCTACAACAGATAAAACTTTAAACTTCTCATATTCTTGAAAAATTGTTGTTTTAATTCTGTATTAATGCATTTTATTATTGTTTCCTAGGCCAATTGCAGGGTATGCCAATCTGTGTCCAAATATGATTTCAACCCAAGCACAGGAATTTGTCGGCATGCTATCTACAGTGAAACATGAAATCATTCATGCATTGGTAAGAATTGATATTTCATACATCACTTTGAAATACCAGTACCACATTCATTGTATAGTATTATGCAAGGGTTTTTGTGGTGTTTTGTTCATTTTTGTGAAGACATAAATGTGAACCTTGTATATGTGTGCATATTGTTTGCAGTCAATTGACTTATGAGATTTTACTGACTTCATAGGAAAACCTGCATTGTAGTATGTAATCTAAATTATTTTTTTGGTTACTTTTCAAGGGATTCTCTGCCGGACTATTTGCATTCTATCGTGATGATGATGGAAATCCTTTAACTTCCAGATATGCAAATGGATTGCCAGCATTTAATGAAAGGTATATATATTGAATCTACACAGAAGAGGACAGTTGGAATTTGAGAAGTACTTTGGTGCTAGTTAAATTGTTTTTGTACCACCATTTTAATACAGTAGTGATTCAGATAGTGATGCAATGTTTTCTTAGCATACCATCTGTTTTTCTATGCCCTCATTTGTAAAAGGACAGCTGTTATGAAGTGCACAGTTATGTTAGTCATATTTTGACTGTTTGGATTTGGTCAGCTAATGAGCAAATATAGAACTTATTCTGTTTCTCAATCATATTAATTCACTCTGCATTCCTTTCAGTCTTGGAGTGTATCAGTGGAGCCAAAGAGTTGTACGAAATGCAGTCAGGTTATGGGATGTACGGGGCAATAATCTTCTGCGTCACAATATATTTCTTCTGATAACTCCTAAAGTAGTTGTAAGTATCTCTTTTGCTTCTTTCACAATACATCTAATGGTGGTGCTCAGATATGAAGTTGTAAGAAATCAGCAGCCCTGCCCTCAGGAGATGAGCGGCAGCAGGCAATAGATCTCCTGTGATGGAAGCACCTAGAGAACATTCCTAAGGCAGCCCCTCCCCTGTGGGGTAAGCAGTAGGGGGCCAGTCATCAACTTCATCAACTCAACTGATGTTGGAGTTGCCTTGGGAATCTTCTCAGGCTCTCTGTTCTTATATGACGGTGGCATGGAAAGTCGTTGATGCAGAGTTACCACTCCCTGTCATAAGGAAGTGGCTGCACAGGGAAATCCCTTAGCCCCCACTACGCACCTTCAGAGGGCCAAGCTACTATAGGAGTGGTTGCTGAGCATTTCTGTTGTTGGGAAGTGGCTACTTGGGTGGGGGGGGGGGGGAATCCCTTGCCCTCAGATGCTCAGCTTCCAAGGTTCCCCAATATTCTCATCCTTGGGAGACTATGGTATAGAGTCTGATAACTTGCCCTCCATCACCTCCCAAGGACAGGGCTACCACATTGGGAATATTCAGGGTAACCTTGTCTTCACTCCATTGGTTGCCAATTAGTTTTCAGGCAAGTACAAAGTGTTGGTTTTGAATCCTTCTTGGTCTGGGTCCAGGTTACCTACAGGATTGCCTTCTCCTGCCCAATCCACGATCCTTAGGACACTGAGGTCCTCTGGGGATGCTTACCCCAACTTGCCAGAACTCGACTGGTAACCGTAAATCAGAGTACCTTTTCATCGGCCACCCCAAGACTGACGAACGACCTACCGGAAGAGATTTGACAGCTAAATCAGCTGTCAGAATTCAAAACTCAATTGAAGACCTATATTCTGGCAGGCCTCCCCAGCCAGTTTTTAAGTTTTGAATTTTAACCCATATTTTATTGGTGAATTTTAACCTGCATTTTATCTGTGTGAATTTTGTTATATGTATTTTAATCATGTTGAGTTTATCTCTGTGTTTTAACAATGTTGTGCCCTGCCATAAGGGGAGGCAGGTTGCTGCTGCTACTGTTGTTGATATTGAGTTGGGTGCTATGTGTGGAATGATCCCTCACCCCTCAGCTCCTGGGGACAGGGCTGCTGATCACAAGGCAGTCCCAACTACAGGAGGCAGACAGGCAGTGGAAGATTTTGAATAATGAAAGCCACAAATTTGGAAGGCCCACTGTAAAGATCAAGTGTTTTAGGTCAAATTAAATTTTCGTCCACATTTCCTTCAGTTGTTCCTGAGAGTGCAATCAACTTGAAATACTATATTTCCTTGATTCTATGACACACTTGTTTCCCATATAAACATGTATGAAAGCAGGGTATGTTTTAGAATTGTGGGTGTGTTTTGTAAATATAAATAAAGCTTTCTTTTGTTGGTGGTCCTGAAGTTAGTGTGCACCTTACAATCAATGGCATCTTAGAACTGATGAAATACAGTAGTATTTCCTGGTCATTATTTTTTTTACAGCTACCTAATAGTAAAGATGATTTCCAATAGAAATTTTTGCTTGACAAAGAAGCTCATCGCATCTGCTATGACATGTAAACCTCATGTATAGGGTGGAATGTTTTTATTTTCAAATAAGCATACTGAGTTGTCTTCTAATGTATTTTTATAAAGGAGGAGGCCCGAAAACATTTTGACTGCCCAATTCTAGAAGGCATGGAACTTGAAAATCAAGGTGGAATGGGCACTGAACTCAATCACTGGGAGAAGCGTTTGTTGGAGGTTTGTATATAGACATGTGGCTTTTTGATGAGGCCCTTATAATCTGAAATGCAGGCGGTGATGACCTCGGCTGATTTTGTCTGCTGCACTGATTTTCTCTTCATGACTCTTATCTTAACATTTTCATTTCATAGTTTGTTACTGTTGGACAGCTGCCGCTGTCTAAATAATACAAATTATAGCAAGCAATTTAAAAATGGGACGTGGAACTATTTATTTAAGAAAAAAAGGATGCTGCTGTCTGATTGCTGCTAATGGAGTGGCAACCTGTTATCAATTATCATATGACCTGTGTGGCGAAGCTACTAAAATTAGGATTATAGTGAAATAATCCTAATTGGAAGACTGCAAAAAACACATAATCATGAAAGAAATAAGTTAACTAGCAGTTACATGTACTACTGTACTAATATTATATTTACATCAGCAACCTCCTGTGGGTGTCTCTGTTCTTCAAAGCTACTTAATGGAATCTAACAGTTGTTGGTTACTTTCAGAACGAAGCAATGACTGGATCACACACTCAGAATAGGGTCTTCTCTCGGATTACTTTGGCATTAATGGAAGATACTGGGTAAGAATTTTCAATTAGACTGCACAACCCTTCTTATCATTTAAATGTGTCTTGTTTTAGGAAAGATAACCAAAATACACAAAAGAGACAAGCCCAGGTTTGTTGCGGTACTTGAACTATGCTTTAAATGTCTGAATAACACTTCGGTAATTGTAATACAAGAAACAATGAGTTTGGTATAGTGGTGGCAGAAACCTGAATTCAGATGAAATTCTGCACATCTTTCAGCCATTTTCTTTTGATACATTTGAAATTTTTACATGTTGAGTCAAGATAAGTTAAACTGTCATGAGGTTCTAAAAGCATTTTTTTTTTTGCTCCCCCGTGCATATTCTGCAGTAAATATATCTAGAGTAAATACCAGAGGATATTTAACTATCATAACTGACATGGGTTTCCCTCCACTGTTGCAAATGCATAATGAGAAATGGAAGAAGTGGGCAATAGCTGAGGAGGTAGCTAATTTGATAAGCCTGAATTAGCTGTTTCAGGCTTTCTTCCTCTTTATACCTGTTTTAATGACTAGCTTATTCAGTAAATGGGCAAAATATATTTTCTTTGTTTGCCTGTCACCATATAAACAAATATTGTATAAACCTTAAAAAAATTGAGGAGAGGGAACTGGGGGGGGGGTCAAAATACTGATGTCCATTTATAGAAATATTTGTGCATCTTCTCTTAATTTTTCCTATTCAGGCTTTTAAAAATTACTTTGTCTGACCATTAAGAAGTGATAGCTTAATAACAGTGTTTCCTTTTTATCTTGTCTTCGTAGCTGGTATAGAGCCAATTATAGCATGGCAGAAAAACTTGACTGGGGACGAGATAAAGGTTGCGACTTTGTGATGAAAAGTTGTAAGTTTTGGATTGACAACAGGCGGAGAAAGTAAGAATTCTTTCTGAAATTTCATGTTCTACAATTGCGCTTAAATTGCATTAACATATTAATGATTGCATGATTAATACTGAAAATAATCAGTGATTATTTTAACAGTTAACAGTGTTAAAGTTCTCTTGTTTTTAATCCTATACAAAGGAAAGAACTGGTAGCTCCATATTGTGACACTCTGCGAAGTAATCCGTTGCAACTAACCTGCAGACAGGACCACAGAGCAGTAGCTGTGTGCAATTTACAAAAGTTTCCTCAACAGCTGCCTCAGGAATATCAGGTAGATCATGTAATTAGTTTTTATGTTCTAATCCCATTAACCTAATTCAGGCAGTTTTCCATTGATAGCCATTGATACAATGTGGATAATATGCTAAACAGTGGTTAATGGAAAATGGAAGAGAAGCTTTCAATCTTCTGCTTGGAGCTATGCTGTGGTATCACAAGAACATGAGTCGATAATAGGACATTATTTATTTGTTAAGGAATTGCTAGCCTACCCTTTATAATCAGATCCCATAATCATCAGTGTGTTAAAGCAATTTAACTCCAGTAAAACCTACTAACAAGCACTGAAAATCAAGCTACTAGATGTTAAATAAAAGACAAAATTTGCAGCAGTTAGAACTCAAGAGAAGGGAAGTCTAAAACCAGCAAGTGTATGTGGTGTGCTGGATGAAAAATGAGCCTCACTTACAGCAGATGTAACTCTTAGTCATGTGTGTCTACAGAGAGAGAGATACTCAGTCAAGTACAGTGGTGTCCTGACTTAAGATTTTAATTCATTCTGTGCCTGTGTTCTTAAGTCAAACCCATTCTTATCTCAAAGCGAATTTCCCCATTAAAATGCTATTAATCTGTTCTGTCCCCCCAAAACCACCCCATTTTTGTTACGTGGATATGTACTTTATAAATAACAAATAATGTCTAACATGTCCAGAGATAGGCAGCGCTTGGTTCCCTTCAGCCACTGTGGCAAGGAAGCACATTTGAGGCAACAAAATGTGTTGGTCAGTTGGTCAGCAAGGCAAAACAGCATCATACTGTAATTCCAGCCTCCCCCCCCCCCTTTTCTTGAAGCAAAATATACAGTACCAGGAATAAAAAGCACATAAAGTGAATTAACCCAAACTTCCTCAGTGGACAGCAATCTCCCAAAGTGGAGAAGAGCAAGTGGGAAGCAGGCAGATGGAGGTACACAGGCTAAGGAACTCAGCCACGAGGTACAATGGCTGCTCCGGTCTGCACTCTGAGGCTACTGCACCAGGGTGGACTGCAATCTCTGGAGTGGAATCTCCAGAGTGGACTTCTCCCAGAACATTAAGGGGAAGCAATCACATAAATGTTCTTTTCAAAACATTTGCCATTATTAGAAGTAACATCGTGCACATTTATTTTCTCATCTACAAATCAAAGAAACAAAAAGAGCAAGCAAACTGAATATGGTCAGCTATGCATCAGACTTAATGGTCACTGTGAAGTTCCTGTGTGTACATTTAGCTTTACAGCTTTGGTATTTGTTAGAAAGGTGTTCTCTAAGCAGAAATAACAGAATGAGAAATTAGACTTACTGTGAAGGTTCATTCTGAGATGGCACGAGGAGTAGTCCATTATGGTTGGCTTCATCCCTACATTCTCTCCTGACTTAAGCAGGACCACATTCTTTTTTACTTGCATCCATCACCAATGTTCTCTTCCGTATTGAGCATTTGTGTTGTCAGAAGAAGCCCATTGGCAGGTCCAGAAGGAGATGACTGGCAGTCTGCACATATGTGTATGCACACACACACAGAGCCTACCCATGGCTTCAACAGGAGGGCGCCTTATATGTATTTTCCTTACAACTCTGCACTATTCAAAACTATTGTATGAGATTGAATCAATTCTCTGGAGTACATAATTGAGATTACATGGAAGGCTGCTTGAGTGCTGTTTCCTAGATCTACTAATAACTTTTTTTCAGCAGGGCAAATTCTGACTGGACTTCTGGTCTGTTGTTTTAAAAAAATCATAGAACACATGGCAACACATTTGGTTAAAAAAACTAGGTTTTCTATTTCTTAACTTTCCTATCTTCTCTTTCTATACTAGCTTTTCTATTCTTTTGTTTTAGACTAGATAAGAAATTATTTTTTCTTTCCTTCTTTAAACATAGAAACCTTTTTGTATGAGACAACAATGGAAGAAGAATATAATATGTTAGAAAAAAGTCTCTATATATCTATTCTTGTACCCTTCTCTATTTCCCATAAGAGGTAAAGGTTTCCCCTGACATTAAGTCTATCCGAGTCTGACTCTGGGGGGTGGTGCTTGTCTCTATTTCTAAGCCGAAGAGTCAGCATAGTCCATAGACACCTCCAAGGTCATGTGGCCAGCATGACTGCATGGAGTGCCATTTTTTCCCTTAGCTTACCAATAAAAATTATACTGAAAAAACTAGGTTAAAATGGCATTAGCAGCTGTAGCATTCATGCTGTCTATAGATTCAACTTTTTATCACTTCCATAAAATGTTACTATGGTTATTCTCATAATGGTGATATATAACACTGTTCCTTCCTTCTTATCACCTCTGGCACTCCCTTTTTACAGTACTTTGACAGCCTATATGGAATACCATCTGAAGATTTGCCTTATTATGGTGGATCAGTTGAAATTGCTGATTACTGTCCTTTCAGCCAGGAATTTAGTTGGCATTTAAGTGGTGAATTCCAACGCAGTTCAGATTGTAGGATACTGGAAAATCAACCAGGTTAGTTGATCTTTGGATTTTGTTCCTCTATTGCAAGCATTGTAAATTTCAAGCTCAGTTCAAATATAGCATGAATTGATGCTTTATTGTCTAAACTATGTTTTTCACTTGAGATTGTAATTCAAGCGTGTTCATAAATTAGCTTGGTTTGGGGGTAATAAACCAGGATGTGATACTGTAGTTGAAAATGAAGCCCTTTTTGTTACTTTTTCCTGTTACTTCTGGATTCAGACAGTTGACATACCATTGCTTTGGTACACAAGAAGAGGAACAGGTGTGCCCCACAGATCCTGGCTCCTTTTCCCTTCTCCCATGTGCCACAGGCATCTGTTTCGTCTGATTAAAAGAGAAGAGGTCCTGGGGAAAAGATATATGCAACACACCGGAAGAGGAGGTGGACTCCTCAGGATAAATATGGGAAAGGCACAAAGGCTCTGCTCCGCTTCCTGTGTGCTGTGCTTGTCTATTCTCTCCAGCTCCTCCCTTCCATTGTCCAAGTGAAACAGACACATGGCACAGAGGAAAAGGTGAAGGATCTGGCCCTGCACATCATTCACCTATCTGATGAATCCTGGGTCCTTTCCCTCTTCCTGTGTGCTACATGTGTTTGCTTTGTCCAAGCAAAGGAGGGAGGGGCAGACACACACAGATTTGGCAGGAAGAGGAGCAGGCTCCGTGTGCAACTTCATGTGTCCTAATGATCCCAGCTTCTCTTCCTGTGCACTGCATGTATCCGTTTTGCCGGGCAAAGAAAAGGAGCTACTGGGAGACAGACACAAGCAGAGCACCAGAAGAGAAGCTGGACTCTGCAGGTTAAGTGGTGTGGCAGCAGCAGCATATGGGCCTCCTCCTGCTGCTCCTATTCCCTTTGTGATCTCGGCGGGTGGTGCCCCATGGGGTCTGCACCCCTAAGCCCTGCAAAAGTGGAGGGCTGACTATACTCTTACCATCTATTGAACCACACAACTCTTAACAGAAACCTTTGGGGGTTTTTGTCCTATAGATCCTTACAAAAACTATGGTGCTGAAAAATATGGACCAAATTCAGTCTGCCTCATTCAGAAATCAGCTTTCGTTATGGAACAATGCAGAAAGAAACTAAGTTATCCTGACTGGGGTAGTGGATGTTACCAGGTAATTAAAGAAGTTCTTCCTTTAACTTCCCATTTATTAAAGATTTGTTTAGATATTGTTTCTTACAGCCATCATTATGTGTTTCTATGTTGCCAATCAAATTAATTACAGAGGAGAATACAATGGGCCCTTAGTTTCCACAGGGGTTTGATTCCATGACTCCCTGCAGATACAAACACTGTGCATGTCAAGTCTGTTAAAATGGCATAGGGCAGCAATGGAAGCGGTGACAAGCCCCGGCCAGTATTTTTTGGGCTTACTGTATTATGTGCATGTGAATCCACAGTAGGTTGAATCGGGGGTTGTGAACCTGTGGATAAGTCTGGCCCATTACAATTGATTCTTTTTCTTCCTCTTCTCATTACCTAAAGAAAAGCCATCTAAAACTATAAATTACTTGCAGCAAATTTTCCCCACATCCCATTTTTCTGAAATGCAGATTGGGGATGAACCTAATAGCCATTGGTAATGCAAATACCTTAATACACCTTAACATGGCTATCTTACTGTTTTCCAGTTGGTTAAATCCAGGCAAAAGTGATTGCTCTGTGTATATCCTTGCATTTTTAGATACAAGGATAAATAAATAGAAAGAGYGGGGGGTGGGGGTGGGTGGGTTATTGTAACCAATTGGAAACCAGTAGGATTTTTTGTTGGTTTTGTTTGTATATAAGAAAGCACTGAAATTATGTTTGCTTTYACCAGTCARTCCATAAAAATGAGCAGAGAGACAGATTTGCTKTTAAACCTTTGGACTTTGGGCTTAGTCAGTATGTTAAATATTGTTCAGGAWWGTTACTTCTCATACATCCAAAGAATATTCATCCTTTGGCTCACTATATTAGGAAAACAACAATAAAATCACAAGATGGCATTTTGAGGTACARGAGGCCTTCCATGTCCACTGATTCTGCTTCRATAGATTCAACCACTCACAATATGARCATACGTTTTTAAGATTCCAAAAAAAGCTACTCTTCATTTTGCCATATAAAGAACACCATTCTACTGTGCCATTGTATATATCGGGACTTGAGCATCTAGCAAACTCAATGGATACCACGGACTCACTGTATATCATAGTTGCCTTTTGTAGCCTTTAATTAGAGGGAAGTATTTATTTCCAAATCTGTGGTGACCAAGTATTGTGGCATTCTTAAATGTTCTGATACGTAATGTTAGAGTTATGTTGGAAGATCTTGAAATCTTAACATATGCTACCATTTTACAGTGAAGAGCCATCTTTTTTTAACATATGTGCAATATTTCAACCAGATTTCAGTGAAAAGTAAAATTGAGTTCTAAGTCTAAACAATGGGACCCACAACAAAATTGTATAGTATGTCACTCAGTGTATCAGTTTGTTGTGCCCTTCTCCCAAATAATGTAAGGTATTAAGGGATCAAGCAAAACCAACCCCCTCTTCTGCACCCCCCACCCACCCACATATAAAACTGTCACATTTCCTTTCTAACATTCCATGGCTCCTGAAATCCATTTTCATATTTGTTAAAAAATTATAAAAAACGTTAATATAAGATAGTAGGAGATCAAGGAAGGCACCCTCCACCTCAAGACATGTGCACATGCGTGTACGCACACTCAGATAATTTTTGGCACAAATCTTTCCGTGAATCCTGGAATCCACTTGTAGATATATTTTTATACTCACAGACATTTCAGAGTGTCCTCAAAAATACGGATAACTATGCCATGTCTCACGTAATTTGTTTTGTTTCTTTCCTTTCCTTTCTTTCCCTTTTTATTTTTATTTTTATTTTTTGCAATCACCAGAGTGTTGTATTCACTGTAAGACTGAGTGATTAATACTGTATATCCCATTGTCCAAACAGAATTTTTATGAGGCAGGTTAGTTCGGAAACTCTGGTCCTCCAGATTGTTTTATTTGCCAGCTCACAGGAGGTCCATCCAGGTTAGCCAGTTGTAAGAGATTATAAGGGTTGCTGTCCAAAAAACAGGAGACTTAAAGATCCCTGCTCTACATCTTACTTTATATTTCCTGAGAGAATGAAGGTGGCCTTAGTGTATTATCCTTTGTGTTGGAGGTGAAAACATCTTTCTGCCTCACCTTAAGTTGGTTCTTTGGCAAAAGTCTGAGGCGACTGAAATGAGTAATTCATTAGAGCCTTCCTCCACTGCCCGACCTCCAATTTGTCCTTTTCCAGACCCATATGCAAACAACTGAGTGGCTACATTAATGCTTTTGTTCATCTCTTCTCTTGACAATGGATCCTGAACAAAATACACTCTCAGAAATTGTTCCATTAATTAAGAGTAGTTTACTGTGTAAACAAAACAATTCTGGCTTTATTTACTAGGTTTCTTGTTCTGCTCATGGACTGACAGTTTGGGTCAAGGACATGGCATACTTGTGCAGTCATTCAGGTCAGATTCTCCCAGTGAATATTCAGATGAATGGATGGGTGCATATTGGGAACCTAGTCTGCCCAGCATGCCTAGACTTCTGTGACATCTGTCCACCTGAGCAGGACCCTCCTCCTCCAATGGCTAACTTGACTAAAATTGCATCTCTCGGTAAGTTAAACCAGCACACCAGTCCCTCAGTATAATTCAGTGAATTAGAGTTGGAATTTGGGGAATCTATTTGGGGGTTTGTTCTGCTCTATTGTTTCTAATTTAGTATTATTGCAAGTATTGATTGTAGCAGGAAGAAAACTGCCTCACCTTTTCTTGACTCCTGTAATGATTGTGGGGCCAAGCCTTTGGGACAGTGCAATAAGGCATCAATAGGAAACTTTACCCTACTGACTGGATTCGGTATGGATGATCTGAGATGGTTGCAGAAAAGGAGAGCCGTGTGCCATATTTTTGCTCGATTTTTGCCTGTACTAATGTGATTTTGTTTCTAACTTTCAGATTTGTGTTCCTGTTCTCCTAGCCTGGTTGTAACCCTCTGGCTCTTGATGGCAAACTTACTTCCACTTTTGGCTGGATTTCTTCTCTGCGCATGGAGTTAAGCCAGGCTCCCAGTTTGCCCTTGCAGCATCTAGAGTGTGCTCCATTTAAGCACAATTTGAAGGCAGCTATCCGGAAGAACAATTACATCTCGGTCTGCCCTTGTGGCAAGTAGCCCAGCTGTTTGTAAGCTGAAGGGTGCTGGACAACTGCTTCTAGACTAAGAGAGGCAACGTTTACAACATCGTCTCAATAAGTGCCAGCATAATTGACAGTTTTATTTTCATATTGGTACAAATTTGGGGGGACAGATTTATCAGTGGTATTATGCCATCTGTTGCCACCTGTCTGGAGCACTTTGGTTATGCACAATTCCCTATGAGTCTTATAGCAGGATTTTTTTGGCATCCTTAGAGATATACCTCAGTTTCTTTTAGTCAGAAGCCATGAAAATCAGTTGCCATTGCTGCTAATAACTTAGGCCTGATAGCGCTTCATGGAGTACAAAAAGAGTTAGCCTTTTGGTACGAGTTCAAACTGCTTCCAAAAGTATACTATTTGTTTGCAGACTCTGGTGAAGTAAGGTTTATTTTTGCTATGAAGTCTGTGCTGCTCAGAATATGATGGAACATTCAGTAGCAGCACATCCTGCACTTTTGGTATTTCCAAATCATGAATATATTTGTAATATTTGTAATTTCCCTTCCGTATGGAAGAATGTTAAGTTAAACTAGTCTGTCATAACTCTTAATGTATTATGACTGCCATCCTAACTATGTTTCCTAGGATGTAAGTCACACTGAACTCAATTGAACCTCTTTCTGTGAAACATGTCTTAGATTGGGCTAAACATTTTGTTTTTGCAAGGCAGGTTAAAATAATGAGTAGTCCTCATTTTTCTGAATGTTCGTCTTACTTCACTGCCATTTCACTTTTTCCTTCACTGGTAAGACTTGAGCATCTTGGCTTTTTTAAAAAAAATACTCCCGCAAGTAAATCAAAGGGAGTGTGAAAAGGTAACACATCTCATTAATTAGGTTCAAGGAGACATAATGTTTTGGGGGAAAGGAAATAGTCATAACAACAGCTGGGTAAAGTTTTCAGGTACCATAGTGACTCCTTTGGGGTCAAAATGAAGAAGTCAGTTACCAAGAGACCTGGTATGAATGGAAGAATAGGTGATTTCAGTAATTATACTGAATATATGAAGAGTTAAGTATGTTTTTTTGAAGCATGCAAGTTAGTGGCTGTGCCACCAATAAGTTGAGTCAGTGGGGCAACTTATGTGGGGAGTATTAATTCCCTAGTTGATAAAAAGTCCTCAGGGACCATAGTTGTGCCAACCTGCCCTACAACAGGGACAAATTGCTTTCCACTCCTCAGATTGGAAGATTTTTTTTCTCGCAAGTATTTTGATTTAATGGAAACGGACTGTTTGGTGTGCTGGATTGGGAGTGTTTCTAAATGAAACCTGATTTCTGTCTATATCCTTTAGTTCAGTCCTCAGACAAGTGCAGTGGAAGCTGGCTAGACAGTGCAGTGAATTCTCAATCATCTAGCCAACTTCAATGGAGCCTGGTGAATTTCTCCATTAAATCGGAAAGTAAGTCTAAAATAGTCCCTTGCTTGGAGATTTATGCCTAAAATTAGTCCTATTTTTAATTAGTGTAAAATGACGAAAGTCAGTATTCTGCTTCCCATCCAAATCATGAAAAAGCTGACCAAACAATGTGCAACAATGGGAGTTGTTTGGCTACATAGGCATATTATGTAACTGTAGTTTATAAATATACTATTACATCCTACATTAGCCTTAAATAAGGGGGAATTGAAAGAATGAAAATAGCAATAAAATATTAGTTTTAAGAAATGTTTTAGATATGTACAGTTAAATATAAATGGAAATTGATTTTTAATTATATAATTCAGTATTAGTTGTTCATAGTTAATATGAAGCAGTTCCCCAAGACTTAAGGAATAGATTTTTTAAAAATTTGTGCAATAACAGAATTTAAATGGCATCTTGTAAAGATGTTTATCTATACTTGAACATTTTTCCTTGAAGTAAATCAATTGCACTATATCAACTTTTTGGCTAACTTTATATCTAAACCTTTATACAAATGTTAATACAGAGTTTTATTTTTTTGTTTGTTTTGTTTTTGTTGAAAAAGTAAAACTAGATCCAACTTGACTGAGAGATTATTTCTTTTCTGATAGACATGAATTGGCCATTTGAGAATTTAGTGAAGTGGGAAAGTGTCTAACAAGTGTTTATAGATTGTAGTCTGGTGAACATAGCACCTAATGTATAGGTTTGTTAGTTGCATCAGCATATCACATGAAGTTTAAATATATTTATCTTAATTTAAAATTGTATTTACACATGGAAAAGTGCTTGCAGCTAATAGTCTAGTTCCATACTATACAACTAGAACCAACATCTTGTGTTTAAAGAAATTCTCGAAAGCTTTTATTGAAATTGCTCACTATCTAGCATTTGTAAGGAAAGTTATAGGGATCTGTTTGCAATTACAGAAGGATGTTTGTGTTGAAAGCAAGACTGCCAGTATTGCCACAATCTAAACTATCCTAGTTGGATAGTTTTCTGAATAGCTGTCAAAGATTCTTGATGATTTTAAAACATGAGATATCTTGGGAGCTAATATTGTGCACGAGAGAGGCATCAAATAGTATTTCTTTTAAAGTTAGAGAATTGTAAAAGGTAATTTTACTGCCTGCAATGGAAGAGATATTCCCCATAGTTTAACTAACAACTTAGTGAAGCTGTCAATGCTGGTGTCAGGTACATTCTGTAACAAGCTATTTGAGAATTCAAAAACATCTTAGAGCAAAGGTAGCACAGTAGAAAGCTATAACCTCTTTCAGAAATCTCTCATAGACCTCTTAAAATAAATAAATTATTGGATGTGATTATTTTACATCTATGTACAGAATTCTAGCCCTATGAAATTAAAAAAACCCACTGCCGCCAGTTTTCTTCTTTGATATGAATATTAATTGTAGAAGGTCTCCCCCTGCTGCCCAAATGTGGTGGCTCACCAGCAGACCCGGAGCTCTGGTGGCGCAATGGGTTAAACCCTTGTGCTAGCAGGACTGCTGACCAATAGGTCAGCGGTTTGAATCCGGGGAGATGGCGAGCTCCTGTCTGTCAGCTCCAGTTTCTCATGCAGGGACATGAGAGAAGCCTCTCAGAATGGTAAAACATCCAGACGTCCCTGGGCAATGTCTTTGCAAACTGCCAATTTTCTTACACCAGAAGTGACTTGCAGTTTCTCAAGTCACTCCCGACATGGAAAAAACAAAAAACAAACAAAACAGCAGACCAGATTTTTTATAATTTCAAAAAACCCACTATAAGTTCTCTACAGGGGAACTTTGAGTTAGAAACAGCTTGAAGGTACACAACAACAAACCTTCCCTTGGTTAGATCGCAAGACATTATTTGGCTTCCTTCTTTAAAGTCATACTCTAGTTTATGCTGTTATGAGGATAACAAAACCAACTCATTTTTAGTGTAGAGATGTTCATTTTTAGCTTACATATATACAGCTGTGTGTGTGTGTGTGTTTGGAGATGTGTGTGTGTGTCTGAGAAATGAAGATTTAAACAAAAAAGAGGAACCCTATTTAACAGGAATACATTATATAATCAGGATAAAATAAAAAGAGAATGGAAGCAATACACAGACGATGTATATGAAAGAATAATAGATTCCTTCAAGGAAGAACTCAGTTTTATAAAGTGAAAGGGAATCTGTTCTCAAAGTACCTAAGATAAATACATCACCAGGAGTAGATGGCGTAGTAACAGAACTATGGAGACAGAATCCATAAATATTCTAACAAAAATCTGCCAACAAAAATGCAAAAAATAAAAATTCCAATGGACCACAGATAGAAAACATCAAAATATACATTCTGATTCCCAAGAAAAGCGACACTAAAGGCTGTCACAATTATGGAAGTGACATAAAGTGATGTGCAAGATTGTAGAAGAAACACAGTTACCATATATGGAGCAAAGTATGCCAGAAGTCCAAGCTAGATTCAAACAAGAAATAAGCACCACCAATTGATTCAAACTATTGGGACGAAATCCATCTAAATACTAGGACGTAAGTGATGTTTGACAGTGAAATATAACAGATTTTCCTGCTCTAAAACAGGCTTGATATCAATCTTTCATGAGTACTTTGATTTTGTATAACCACTTTGGATCTCTTTTTTGAGAGATAAAGCAGGATAGAAATAATAATAATAATAATAATAAGAAGAAGAAGAAGAAGAAGAAGAAGAAGAAGAAGAAGTGCATGGCAGGGTTGTTGTCTCTTTCAACTCTATAATTCCAATACATTCCCAAAAATGGCTAATGGAGTATTCCAAAAAATTCAGAAATTTTAGCCAATGCATTATAGATTTTAGTAAACACTTGAATGGTGTAGAACACGAAAAATTATAAATTGCTCTAAAATAAATTAATATGCTACAACATTGATTGTCCTGATAACTAACCTATACTCTGAACATAAGGACACTGTCAAGACAGTATCAAGAAACAGAATAATTTCTCATTGGCAAAGGGCTCCAGCACAGCTGCATTTTGTCACCCATATATATATATATATATATATATATATATATACACACACACACACACACACACACACACACACATACATACATACACACACACAATACACACACGCACACGGAGCATATCAAAAATGGGATTAAACTCAAAGGAAATGTGAAATTGTTAGAAGGCAATTCTACAGATGCCAAGAACCACTCAAAAGACTTGAGGGTAAACCAAGCTGGAAGCCAAAATAACTAAACTGGTGCTATCATGAAATGTGACTCAGTTGAAGAAATTATAATACATTAGGAAAAGGGCATTAGGAAAAGAAGACAACTGCATTACAAGGTAATTGATTGAATCAAGGAACCCCGCCCTGAGTTTACAAGGGCTGTTCATAAAGGTCTCATATATATAGGAGTCATAAACTGAAGCGAGTGTGATGGTAAATAACAACTTGAGAAAGTCAGGACAAGTCTCTAAGATGCTCTATAAAAGTTGGGCCTTGGTGTTACAAGGCAAATGTGCTCAAAATAAAAATATATGAAAACATTTTTGTTCTTGATTGACATGTGATAGCCAGGGTTCTTTATTCCCAATCTTTCCTTAAGCTTTAGGGGGAAAAAATTAGACCTAGGCTTTACTGAACTTACTTTAGTTTTACCTTATACTGTAATTCATGTGAAATAACATTATCTGTCTGAGTAATAGGAAAAAGGTCTTATTGTTCATGCATATGTGGAAGAAAGTTACATTTTGCTGTTTTACTTGAAATTTGTTTATTGAATGAATACTAACAGTTCTTTGATTATGTTCCTTGATTATCCAGTATTGTTGACATGCTGATCAGATTGTAGTTGGATGGATCAAGAACTAATATGTTTTGCATTGGTGAGCCTGCACTTGGATTGACATTAATCACCCTTTGAGCCAGAGCCACATTTGCAGAAGCCGATGCAAGTCCTGGTCTGGTATATGTGCAGTCTGTCCAATAATATACGGTAACTTTCAACTTTGTCAACTTTGGAATTACTTGATAAAATGTTTTTGGGAAAAGTAAAGTGTATTATTTATCATATTCTTTTGCTGGCAAATGTTAAGATATATTTATTTTCCATTTTGCTGTGTAAGTGGGTTTGAGGGCTGGATTATGTATATAGTGAGTTTACATCTCAAATTGAAATATTTTTTAAGAACCTGGAAGAGTCTTCTAGCATCAACTTACTTGGAGCATTGTATCAATTAAAATGGTTTAGAAATGTCTACATCCTTTTCATTAAACAAACCTGGATACAAGTGGAATTGTTCAGGCATTGAGAAATGTGGAATAATAATAGTAAATAATAATAATAATAATAATAATAATAATAATAATAATAATAATGCTTCATTGATAACCTGCCATATCTCCCCAAGGGAACTCGCTGGAAGCACTGTAGCTGCTTTTAAAATTTTAGTTCAGTTGCGTGACAAACATGCCATTACGTATTCAATATTTTTGTACTGAGGAATGATACTTGAAATAATTTCAAATGATGTTACTTCGAATTCATATTAGCAATAATTACCTTTTCCTTCAGAAGTTTATATTCTTCCGTATAATCATATTTGTAATCATATGGTTACAGATTTGGAGAGGTTTTTAATACCACTTCAGTATGTTTGGGCTAAACATTACGTTTTAAGAGTATTTCAGCAGTTAATTTGGCTGCCTTGAGTGAATTTTGGATTTCCTTTTGTGGGGACATAAAGCTAGACAGGCATTTCTCAGGATAGCCTTTGATTAATAATCTCTCCTGCTCTTGAGGATTGTCATGAGGCCAGTTCTCACAAGACATCACTACTCCAAATCCATGTATAATCCAGTTTCGGGAGTTAATATTGAAATGTTTTGTCTGACTAGCTCCATTCTCAGCAGAAGACAATAACCCAAACAGTTTGTATGATACTTTCAGTAAAGACTCTTATCAGTGAACAATTGGTACAGATTTATCTTGGTTTGCTTGCTTTTATTCATCATGGTCATGTTGACAGAAGGCTTGAGCAGTGGGATACGTAACGGGAGAGCACAACACGATCTTACTTGTGATGTGGATGATTCTGCAGGCAAGTGACAAACTCCTTGACAGACTTTCCTTTGTAGCAGATGAGGTAGATATTTACAAATAATGGAAACCTAGGAAAAGTGCAATCGTCAAGTACTTGGAGCCAGCTGAATTATCTCATTTACAACCTCCAGTATTCATAGCCATTAAGAGTGTCATTCAGGTACTTTTTAACAATCTTCGCTGATAACTGGCATTGTTAACCAAAATAGAACGTTTTTCTGGAGCCATCTTTTATCCTATGACAAACAGAATACATGTTTTCTAAAATTAGGCGAACTTAAGCTAGCAGTTGATATGCTAGTATGTCTGACAAGATTGATTATTCATGATTTTGAGTAAATGAGTGGGAATGAGATCCAAGTATTTAGAATTGGTCCATTCAGAGAATTAACTGAGACTGAAACTACATATTTTAAAATAATTCTCCACTACAGAAATTTCCTCGATGTAGAAATTGGGAGAGTGACACTGAAAGGCATTTGCTAGTTCCATGGAGACCAGTAAGAAATACCAGTTTCTATAGGCTACATTTCAGAGAAATGCAATGGTCAATCATTTATGAGTAGGCCTTGTCTTAGAAAGCCCAATGAAATTCCTGGTGGTTGCCATACGTTGACAGGCAACTTGGAGGCACATCTACTAAAAGCTCATATTTCTTGGAATCATCTTTGACTTTTCAGATATTTTTTATCTATAAAATTAAAACTACCTACTTGTCAATCAGTTTCTTCTGCTTCAGGATTTTATAGACTTCCGCTGATGTCTGAGGTCCTTGAAGCTTTTGTCCATTTAACATTTCTTTTTCGAGCTGTTCGATTGTCTGAAATAAACAAAAAGTATTGACTAATTATTTTGGAAATGACCTCTGTTGGCACTGAAGCAACACATTTTTATGGCAGTAATAGTCTTGGAGGTATGGCAAGGGAAAGAAAAGCTCCACTTGTTGCAGTTCAGATGAAAATATGCACTTTAGTCTATAACTTTTTATTAATTCATTGGTCTTCACCTGGAACAACAGACCTCACCACCAAGTTTCAAACTGATAGAAAATGAGTTGCTCAGAAATACTTTAAAAATAAGTAGATTCCTAAAGTATATCCTTAAGCTGAAAGTTGATACTGAGTTCTAGAAAGCATGAGGAAAGCTATTGATTTAATCCAAGGACCAGTACTCCATTCCTCATGTGCCAAGAGTAAACCTGAACTGTGTTTATGTGGCTAACATATACGTCTGTCAGACTTGGACACATCCGTTCAGATCCATTGATTCAGTGAGGCTACCAGTATTGTGAGCATAGAGTTACAGCCTGAATTTGTGTCAGTTTTTTTAGCTTTTGTATCTCTTACCCAAAGCATAGATATTAAGGCATGCATATTTCCCAGGAACCAGAAGATAACTGGCAAGAGCTATACACACTGACGCTTTATGCTTTGGGTGTCTTTTAAATCTGAATATTATAATTACTTTTCCATGTATAGAGTTCTTTGAAGTGCTCATTATTCCCACAGTGACCTCCTTTGAGAGGTCAACACAGTAATTTTCCTAAGGCTAATCAGTTTTTATGATCAAGCAAAGATTAATCATTGTAGATGTGAGTCTTGCACAGACATACCAGCAAATACAGATTAACGTAAATGCATGAAAGAGGTTGGAGAGAAAGGCATTTGCCAACACACCATGCATGTTTCCCTCTTTGTGTACTATTTGGGTTAAAGAACTCAGCTTGTGTCAAATTTTTAAATAGCTGGATATGCAACTTTATGGTAACTTCCAGGGGAAGTGAAGCCTACAATCATCTGGACTCTGGAGGACCTAGCCAATTTTTAGAGAAACAATTTTTCTCCTAGGCATGGATAAATAAAACTGCAGATGTGGGTATCACAGTTACAACTGTTTTGCTATGTCATCATGAAGATTTCTAATCAAGAAATGTTCTTACTTTTTCACCACATGCAAAAGCTTCAGCCACCTTCCTGTTCCTTCCCCCGTAGCATGTTGTGATCAGATCTGCAATGCCACAACTTTCCAGAAATGTATCTAGTGTTACAGTGCCTTTACAGAATAGTTTCGCAAAGGCAATCATCTCCATCAGGCCCAGACGAATTACAGCTGCCTTGGTGTTGTCTCCAAAGCCCAAGCCATCACAAAAACCAGCCCCCACTGCCACGATGTTCTGAATCCAATTGGACAGAAAAAAATGAAACAGAGAGAAAAATGTGAAATAGCCCATAATAACAGTAACTTTATTTTTGTACCCTGCCTCCATCCCCCTCGAAGGCACTCCCCAAAGGCACTCGGGGCAACTTATGTATGGCACAATGTGCCCAAAACAACACATATAATAAATACACAATACAATAAAAGATAAAACCAATAGCATATAAAACAATAAGCTCAAAACATGCAGATTGTACACAGTTGTGTCAAATGGCCATGGCTCAATACTATCAGATCATGGGAGTTGTTGATTGGTGATGCGCCAGCACTCTCTTTGGCAAAGAAAAGTAAAAGTATTGCAAAACTACAACTACCATGATTTCATAGTATTAATCTATAGCAGTAAAAGTGGTTCCAAACTACCTTAATTCTACAGTGTAGATACACCTTTAATTTTAAAAACCCACAAGTGCCTCTCTTTTTGCTGTACATTAAAAATGCAGGTATAACAACATTAAGTAATAATGTGCTCTTCTTTCCATGATACTCCAAACCTGCTGCCAGATAGATCTCATTCTCCTTCATGCTAGTGTCAGCCTTGAATGATCCCAATTAGTAATCCATAACAAGCTACATTATTCCACAACACCACTCATTGTGGAGAAGTTTCAGACATAACTTGCAAGTGAGATGACTCTCTGTACTGTACCCTTCCCTAGCAGTGGGAGAACATTTTCCATTGGGGAAGCATTTTGAATCCATGTGTGAAGAGGGGTGTGTGATAGCACTGCACTTTCTCCAATTCTGCCATTCTCCTCATGTGCTAAGCAACACATTTGTAGAGGAAATCTTTCTCTTAGGCATGGCCACTCTACACAATTGGGAACGAAGAAAATCCCCCCAAAACTGGAGTGTATCCTCACACAGGGAGATTTTCTTGGGGCCCTTTCACACAGCCATATAATCCAGAATATCAAGGCAGAAAATCCCACAATATCTGCTTTGAACTGGGTTATCTGAATCCACACTGCCATATATTCCAGTTCAAAGCAGATGGGATTTTATTCAGCTGTGTCAAAGGGCCCTCAGAGACATGGAACAGAAGCAAGGGAACAAAGCAAGGGCTCTGCAAATTGACTGAACATGCTTTCAGGGCAAGTGAAGGAAAGTTGGGAGTCACATGAGAGTTACATGCAAAAGAAATACAAGGCTCTTTGTAAAGTTAGGCCATTGTGCAATTAGCAAAAATCATTCCATAGTTTGCCCCTTAAGCCTGGAACTACTGTCCAACTAAAAATCACTGGCATTCTAAAACCACTCTTAAGTTGGAATTTAAATAAATTGACTTCTCCCATTTTACAAACTAAACATTAAGTAAAAGTTAATGAATATGAAGGTATTCGGAGCAACATTTTAATAAGCTGGTCACATGGACTACCAAACTTTTATTGGCCTGAAAGTATTTGGAATCACTAACTTTTAAGGCCCCACAGAGTTCCACAGTGTCACAGTCTTCTACTATTGCAATTCTGAAATTTGGGGTTTGAATTAATTCCTTAAAGATCTTCCCACTTGCAGGATTTTTGCAACCTATGGGAGGAAAGCATGATAAATTAGGATTCCAGGTGATAATCAAAGAAAGGTGTGCGGGATTGCTTCCAATATAATATTTCAAAAGAAAGAGATACATATACCAATTTGCCAGGTGCGTGCAGATGTTATGCAATACAAGTTCTATACATAGCTATTTTTCAGTCCTCTATAGTCTAAAAAATTCCCCAAATGGCAAAAAAGTAATGTTGCAAAAGTGATGTGTAAGCCTCCTTACATATAATTCTGGTACCATACATGAAGGAATGGAAGTTGTCTGTCTCAAAATGAGAATGTAGATGTCATAATTACATCTGTAGCTGACAATATGAAATAAGGAATTATTCACTCGTTCTAGATTCACTGACTTATATAATTAACAGAAGCCAAAACACCATATCTTTTAAAAATACCATGCCAAACCAATTGTTAGAAGATAAAAAAGATGCACAACATGGCAACTCAAGTGTGTCCTTGTCCTCTATGTTTAGGTGTACTTCGTGGACAGTCATTCACAACTGCCCAATCTGATCCATTAGGAAAGGTACCTGACAGAACTCAGGTTCAAATCCTTACTCCAGAGTGACAGTCACTGGGTGCCTTTCAGATTGACAGCCACATTGTAAAGGTAAAAAGCATTGAGGAGAGACAACCAACTATATTTCTTTGAGCTAACTGGAGGATGAAATGTGGGATATGAATGCAGTAAGTGAGATTGTATGCAATGTTACAACTATCTGGAGAGTGGTGTTGCATTGTGTCCCATATTGGGAGAAGATGGAACAACAATCAAACACGATATTTTTGCAGATGGAGATTTGCAGGTACATTACCATGTAATGAGAAAGCTGTGTGACTGCATTGCAAACACGCATGGACTAGTCTCACCTGCATGAAGGGTTGTTTACAAATGTGAGGCTCTTCATCAATTACCTATGGTTGTTTCACAGAACATGTCATCTGCGACTTCATTAGCAATGTTGGCCCCCATGAGCACGCTGACATCTATCTTCAGTTTTTCTCGAATAATGTCTGATATGAGTTTCAGCCCATCGGGGCCTTCATCTATACCCTACTTGAGAGAAAGATGGATCAAAGCAAAGATTTTTAAAATAGTGCATTCCTACCTTTCAAGACAAGAGACAGAAATCTGATCCCTATGAAAACTGGATCAGGAGAGAAACGTAGAGGAGCTGTTTGTAAAACGTTGTGGCAACAGACAGCAAAGTATCAAACGAAAGGATATCTGGTTTAATATTTCATCTCCTTTATAGAGGAAAACCAAAAGATAATGACAAGGGATGATAACTTGCCTATTCTAAAAATGATATCTTGAAGGAGACATAATCCCAGAGGCATGTTAGATTGAGAGTCCACACCTGGTAAAAATATGCTTTTAAAACGTTCTGCTCCTAGATATTTGGCCTGTTGAGAAAAAACTGAAGGAGCCCATTGTTTACTTTTGATGTTTAGCTAAGGAATTATCCAATACATGCATAGCTGTCCAAACGCATCTCCCTCTATGATTAAGATCTTCCAGGGAGGCCCTGCTCTCGGTCCCACCACCGTCACAGGTGCAATTGGCAGGGGCGAGAGGTGGGGCCTTCTCAGTGATTGCCCCTAGGCTTTGGAACTCCCTCCCTGGTGAGATTAGATCAGCCCYTTCCCTCCTGTCCTTCAGAAAGATGATAAAAACTTGRCTGTGGGACCAAGCCTTTGGGACAGTGAAATAAGGCAACAATAGGAAACTGCTGACTAGATCTGGCATGGATGTTCTGAGATGGTTTTAAACAATTGATTTTAAGTGGAGATAACTGATTGTAGTGTTTGTATCTATTTATAGTTTATTTTATGTTCTAGTATTGAATGTTTGCCGTATATATGTTGTGCTCCTCCCTCAGTCCCTTTCGGGGTGAGAAGGGCAGAATATAAATGTATAAAATAAATAAATGAACTCGATGAGCCTTCCAGTCTGTAATTTTATGAAAATTTTATTACATTTTTAAATTTTAAAATAATTATTTTTAAAATAACACATGCAACATAAGACTGAACTTCGCATAGAAATATGGTGATTGAACATTACATAGAAAAACATTGTCCATCTACCAGAATTATACTTTCCAAGGCACCTTCAGAAAAGGAATTGCAGATTGCCTTGGAAACTGCCATCTCTGTCAGAAAATTCAAAGTATCTCACCTAACAGGTTGTTTCAGGATACCACATTACATAACCATGACAATCAGTGTGGTTTCACACAGAGTAGAACTATTCCACATCTCGAGGCTACATTGGCCAATTAACCCATGTTGACATTCTTTGGATCAACATTGCATCAAACCAGAGCATACATAAAACTGGAGACCACGGAAGAGTGTCAAAGAATAACATGAAATAATGAACTTTCCCCCCCTTATATTTGTAAAATTCTCACTACAGAATCACAAACCATTCGAAGCCTTTCAATAAAATTTTCTACAGTGAGCAGGATCAATTAACTTTTCTGTTTGAACATAGTAGGCGAAGGCAGATGGAAGATCTCCAGATGTTTTGGAGTTTATAAACTTATTCATTCCATTTCCTTTCCCATGAACCCTAATCCATTGGCAGTGTTCGTAGGGCTGATGAGAACTAACATCCAAAATATGATGAAAACTACCTTTTGCCAATCCCACCATACATCATGAAATCCCATACTAGATATATGCAGGTATTTAGTTTTCAAAATAAACATTTTTCTTCATCTTTGTTAATTTGACATGCAATACTGTGGTTAGAGTTGCTTTTTTAAAGCTACAATACTGGAAGAAGTCTTACCTGCTAACTCAAGAATTGGGAAAATACAAAATGTGGGACCTTCCAGAAATCCCCCCAAAGACCCCAGAAACCTTTCCATGCAGATTTTCAGGAGCCCCCCTCCTCCCCACAGTCAAATAATCCCAAATCACCTATGCTTGCACTAATTTGGTTCTTGAAGTCATCTAAATCTGTTGCTACTAAGAGGTTGCAACGTACTTTAAGTTGTTGTAAGGATTTATGTTGTTTTGTGCTACAACTTTAAGTTGTTGTAAGGTTCAAGGCTGCTTGTGCTACAGTTGTTTCAGTTCATTGAAGAGCTAATTGAGAGTATTATTTTAATGTGTATAAAGATAGCTACTGTGTGTTTAGTTTCTTTGCCATTGTGCCCTTATACCTTTGTTCGTCTATGCCTCTGCGTTTTTGCTTTTGTGTCACTTTGCCTTGTGTAAGCCGAGGACTATGCTGCAGATGTCCTGCGAAGACACAGCCATATGAAGAGGACAAGGATTCCTGCTTATCACAGATGAGTAATGATATCTCTCAGAAGATATTGTTTCATGTTACTTTTGTGGAAAGAGCAATCCTGCTATTTTGTTTTGTATGCGGCCAATACTACAATACTTTCTTTTCTACAACTAAAAGCCGAAGTCTCATGTGTTTTTCTTTTATGAGCCAATTCATCACACACAAAGTTAACTGGGCTAGAGTCAATCTGCATGCTACTCATGCTAACGCATGACAAAATCTCCAAAATAAACACCACAAAAAGAGGGAAACTTGGTGAAAATCAGTCAAAATTGTAATTGGAATTGATGTCACATCACTTCAGAAACACTAAAAAGTGCTGGTGTGGCCTGCCAAGTGGGAGCAGGGAGGAAAATTGCATACCCTTGTGTTATTTATTTATCTTTGGGGTTACAATTTAGGGTGGGATCAGGACTACCAAATGAACTGGCATCTTGATAGGGCCATCTTCACCCTACAAAGTTTACCTTGATCAATGAAATCCCAATGGCACCGGCTTTCACATTGCCAGTAAGCTCCTCACAGATTTTTGGAATGAACTGATGAGGTATAACAAATACTAGGAGATCTGCCCCTTCTGCTGCTTCTTTTACATTTGGGACAGCAACCTGGAAAAAAATAAAACAATAAACAATTAACTCCAGTCTTCTATTTCTGTGTAGCAAATGAGGACAATCCTTTCCTGCTGGAATCTAATGATACCTGGGACCCATTCATACCACACTATTATAGCACTATTTATTTATTTATTATTTATTTATTTACTTCTTTTGTATACCGCATATATCAGCCTGAGGCGGCGACTCAATGCAGTTTACAGTAAAAATAGCAACATTGAACAATATATGAGACACACAATACAAACAAAACACATAATCATCAACGCCACACTTATACTCATGGTTCCACTTTAACAATCACAACAACAGTGTTCTAACAAATCCTTGAATTTGTAGTTTGGTGAGGTACTTGAGTTCTCTGTGTTTGAGAATCCTAAAACACCCCCTCTAAAGTGTGATTCTAAGAATTCTATAGGATGTTGCCATAGCAATTAAAGTGGAACCACAGCACTATAGTTTGCAGTGTGAAACGGTCCCATTTGTAGTTTCACAGCATTTTCTTCTTTATAACAATTTTAGTTAATTCTTTTGTTATTGTTAATTTAACCTCCACTACATTGATAGCCACCTTTTTACTGTTTCATGACCGTTTTTCATTGGATTTACATGGATTTTAGATGTTGTCTATGTTCAGATAGAACACAGCTATAGGAGCTATTGCCAGATTTCGTTACTATGGATGTATTGTTGTGTTCAGGCAATGAATGTTTGCCTTTTATGTTTAGAAGCCGCCCTTTTATGTTTAGAATGAGTCCCTCTGGGGAGATAGGGTGGAATTATTACTATTATTATTATCATTATTATTATTATTATTACTACATTTTAGAATAAAGGGGTTATGGAGTGAGTTATTATTATTATTATTATTATTATTATTATTATTATTATTATTTATACCCAGCTTTATCTCTCCAAAGGGGACTCAAAGTGGCTCGACATAAAAGCATTGGTATACAATTTAGGAGTTAAGAGTGTCGGGCCAAAATCCTATTGTCTCCAACCATGTCATGACAACGCAGCAGGGGTGAAAGGAATGGAAAGACCACAGCAATCTCAATGGGAAGAGAAGGTTGTCTGCTCCGCACTGCTTCTTTCTCAAACATCTGGTTTTCAGGTGGGTTTACAAAGCCAAGACATTATGGAAAGTGTGACTTGGACCATTGCCTGCTCCATGACACAGGGGAATGTTCAAATCACTTATTTCCTCCTGCTTCAGCTCTGTTAATCCCTTCATCTCCAAAAGCTACCCGCTTGGGAAACAAGCAACACAGATCCATCAGCCTTCTTTAGTCACTGCTATCTCTGCAAAAGCACAAAGAAAGTTAAATTGGTAAAGTTAAATTGGTAAAGTGACAGACCATTGGACGATTGTAGTGCCTCAATAGGATTTTACCCTTTGATTGGAACTTGTGAAATTAATGTTGAAGGCCATGTATCTCAGTGGATGACCTTGGGCAGGTGGGCAGCAAAGCCATGTACGTTGGCTTAGTTCAGAAAAGGAAATGTAGGATCTAAATATAACAAGTAAACAAAATGCAACTCGAAGTTTGTAAAACTTCTAATAAGATTCTACTGTGCTTTGTTTGCATCCTGCCTTCCTGGGCTTTGGGCAAAAAAATCCCAAGTCTCATTTCTCTTTCTGTTGGGCTGATGAGAGGGGCATTGGCAGATCTGAAAATCAAACAACTAGACGAACTATAGAGTGTCCCAGAAAGTTCATTCCAACTGGCTCTGATTTGTGGTTGGAATAAACCACAATTCCTTGATCTTACATATAGAGTTGGTTAGGAGGGAGTAGAGAGGATTGATTTTTTGCTCTTGGCAGATCTCTTTTTAAAAGTTCACAATATACCAGGCACCTGGCCCTGCAGGTGTTTTGGACTTCAACTCCCACCATTCCTAACACCCTTAGGCCCCTTCATTTCCCCCCTCAGCCGCTTAAGTAGCTGAGGGGGGAAAGGAAGGGGCCTGAGGCTGTTAGGAATGGTGGGAGTTGAGGTCCAAAACACTTGGAAGGTCAGAGTTTGCCCATGCCTGGTATAGAGTGAACTTTTGAAAAGAGATCTACCAAGAGCCAAAATCAGTCCTCTGTACTCCCACCTAACCAACTCTATATGTAAGATCAAGGAATTGTAGTTTATTCCAATCATAATTTGGTGATATGAAACATTGTCTCTGTTGCTTGGAATTCATTCAATCCCAATATAGTCAAAGTATAAGATGGTTAATACTGAAACTGGACTTTTGTGCTTACGTCACTTACCACATTCCGAGGTAGCTTATGCCCTGGGAGATACTTTACATTTTCATGATCTTGGTTTATTATTTCAGTGAGTTTCCGGCCATTGATTATCTCTTCAAACACCCACATCTTAACTGTAGATTCAAACATGTTCGATTTCTGGGCGTTCTCACCTATGATTTTCGCAATGGCAGATCCCCTTTAAGGGGAAAAAAGAAATAATTGAGATAAGTAGATATTTAATAGCTGGAACACAAGCATGACTTGCATAGAGATAACTTCAGTTTCACAAACCATAATATGCTTTACTTCCTACATTTATTTTACCATAGGCTGTCTCTTTCAACACGAAGCATTTTCCAACAGTACATGAAGCCTAAAACTGTATCTTTTTCTTCATGAAAGCCACCAACAATTACTAGCCAAAGCTCAGCTTTCATGCATGTTGGTGAACTATTTGGCAATTTAAGTATCTGCTGCACAGAATTTGGACTGATGCACTTTTTCTACCTCCAAGTTGTCCTGTCATCAATAGCACAGCTGGGATCTTGCAGACTCAGGGATCGTGTGGCTTTCTAGAATGAGTGTGCATCTATATCAGGCATGGACAAACTCTGGCTTTCCAGCTATTAGGAATTGTGGGAGTTGGAGTCCAAAAAAAACCGGAGGAACAAAGCTTGCCCATGCCTGATCTACATCATATAATCAATGCTGTTTGATCCCACTTTAACTGCCATGAATGACTGAATACTATTAAATCTTTGGAGCTGTAGTTTGGCGAGGTATCAGCCCTCTTCAGCAGAAAGGGTTAAAGACTCTGCAAACTACAACTCCCTTGTGTCCATATAATTGAGTCTGAACAGTTAAACTGATGTCAAACTAAAATGACTAAAATGATCAAGGTCTGGAGAACAAGCCCTATGAGGAGCAGCTTAAAGAGCTGGGCATGTTTAGCCTGCAGAAGAGAAGGCTGAGAAGAGACATGATGGCCATGTATAAATATGTGAGAGGAAGTCATAGGGAGAAGGGAGCAAGCTTGTTTTCTGCTGCCCTGGAGACTAGGATGCAGAGCAATGGCTTCAAATTACAGGAAAGGAGATTCCACCTGAACATTAGGAAGAACTTCTTAACTGTGAGAGCTGTTCAGCAGTGGAACTCTCTGCCCCGGAGTGTGGTGGAGGCTCCTTCCTTGGAGGCTTTTAACTAGACGCTGGATAGCCATCTGTTGGGGTGCTTTTAATGTGATTTTTCTTGCTTCTTGGCAGGGAGTTGGACTTGGTGGTCCACGAGGTATCTTCCAACTCAATGATTCTTTGAAACTGCATTAATTCTGTAGTGTAGATGCACCTGAGTCTATCCATCTGGAATGTGATCTTCCTTTTTTCCCTACTGCCTTCTACCTTACCAAACATATTTTATTGTGAGTCAACCCAGAATTTTTTTCAGCTCCCAATTTGATCAAAGGGATTGTATAACCGCCCTCCATGTCAATTTAAAATAACTCAGTGTAAAATTAGAAACGTCAGGAACAACATGGATTTCTTGAAAATATGTAATTTGCAATTAACTGTGAAATAATAAATAATAAAATTGGAAATATTAGGAACAACACGTATTCCTTTAAAATATGTAGTTTTAAATTAACTGAAATAATAAATAAAACTGAAAAGGTCAGGAATTACATGTATTTTTTGAAAATCCAGTTAACTGTGAAATAAACAGTGCTGTGCTTTAAGGTCTAGACAACTTTGGAACAGAGTGTTGGGCTATCTCATGTAGGCAAGGACATTCAAGTCTAAACAACATTTCTATCACATTTGTTTTGAAGGTGCTGAGTCACAATTGTACATTTCCCCTCACTGTTCTTAAAAATATCATGGAATAGACGCCTTTTATTTTTTTATCTTACATCACTGCCACAAATTGTCTCATATGAGTTCTTGATGCAGTGGTGTTTACGAACAGGCAATTTCTAAAAAGATTCCACTGTCTGCTCTTCAGAGTCACTAACTCTTAACACAGATAATGTAGTAAGACTTTTCAAAGAAAACAGTATGTGCCCATTGCTTTCAGCTGGGACTGGCTACATGTAGCCTTGGCCCAGTTTCACAAGCCTCTGCAAACAAGTTTAGATTTCTGGGGAAAGAAACCTTTCCCGCCTCTGGCTGCCAGGCTGCAGAAAAGAAAAGGAGAAAATTGTATAATTATGTAAGTCCACAGTGAGGTAAATTAAAATTTTGCCGCCTCACACACAAATAAGTATGCTATCCCCGTGAAATTTCCTCCAGCCCACACATTTCTAGCATTGCAGTAATTTCGGGACCCTTTCATGGTACACAAATATAGCACTATGGTTCCACTTTAGCTGTCATGGCAGTATCCACAGGCATCGTGGGATCTGTAAATTTGATAAGGTCCAAGAGGAAGTCTCCAGTCGAGAAATTTAATTATTCTCCCTAAATAGCAAATCCCAGGATTCCAGTGGAGGCATGCATGAAAAACAGTCAATATTATCATTATGCAGTGTGAAAGAAACGGGTCAAAGTTATGACGGGAATGTGAACACAGCCAATACTATAAGAATTCTAAATGTGCATTATAGTGTTTCACTCCTTGCAGTAGTCTTTGGTTCTAGGATCCCAATGTATACCAAAATGCCTGGATGCTTGTGTCCCAGTAGCACAGTAAAATGGCACCTCTTATATAAAATGACAAATCAAGATTAGCTTTTGCAATTTTTCAAACAATATTTTTAAGGCGTGAATGTTTGTATCCATGGAAAAAGTGCACCAACTATACAAAAAAACAAACAAAAAACAACAACAACCTAGGGCCTTGAGGATAACTTTTTTTTAATAGTATAGGGTATTTATTTGTGATGCTTGCTCACATTTTGCCCTTCTTGTAGCATTGCCACAGGATGGTAGATTGACAGGACATTGTCCATTCATAGCTGAGAACCATCACTGGTTTCCAAGCCCCTGAGAGATTGGTTTCTGAGCCACTGAGAGATTATTTTTAAGAGGATGCCGCTCTTAACAGGAAAAAAAGTTTCCTACACCCTACAAATGGAGAACATTTAAATATGGTGGGGATTTAATTCCACACTAGTTGCTGACTAATTGACCGGCAATAAAACTGTATGCGATCATCATCTGCCCCAGAATCAGACCTCTTCTTCAACAATAAAAAGGCCTCCAAAAATAAATCATTAAGGCACACATTTTAAAGCAGGTATGGGCAAACTTTGGCCCTCCAGGTGTTTTGGACTTCAACTCCCACAATTCCTAATATCCTACTGGCTGTTAGGAATTGTGGGAGTTGAAGTCCAAACACCTGGAGGGCCGAAGTTTGCCCATGCTTGCTTTAAAGAAAACTGATTACAGTTGGTCCTCCACATTTGCGAGGTGGCATCATACTTAACCTCCATGAATGTGGAGAGCCACCTGTATTCCAGTATATTTGCAAATCAGACGATTGACTGATTGATTTACCAGCAAACCAGAAATCATTGGTGGTCACAACAGAAATGCTAAATTATAGTGTGACAGCTAGGTCAAATCAGCAGGAAAGTTTCTCAATCTGAAAACAACTACTACTCAAAATAAAGGTCATAAAGTCTGAATATGAAACCTCTCTAGTTGATTACAGCTATTGAGAAACTACTATGTGAAGGGTTACTTTGTGTTTTTATGGTTTTGAAAGAATTGCTGAGCACTGAACTTTAACTTCTATTTTGGTGACTTTAAGGAATGTGACTCTCTGGTTGCAAGATGTTTGGAGCTTAAGGCTGTGCCCCAACTTCACAAATGAAACTAGTTTCCCTACCTAAACTGACTTTGCTGGACTCTAGACCATCACATGAGTAGAGGTTAGCATTTTTTGAGTCTGCAAGGTCAAAAAACTAATATCGTAAGGCCCTTTCCACATAGCTGTGTAAAATCCACATTGAACTGGATTATCTGACAGGGTGGATTCAGATAACCCAGTTGAAAGCGGATATTGTGAGTTATTCCACCTTGATATTCTGAGTTATATGGCTGTGTGGAAGGACCCTTAGGTGCTGCAAAACAATCATTTTAATACTATGCACAGTTGTGACATATTTGTCACAGAGGATCCAGCCATCTTGTGTGTTTTCCCAAAGGCAGCTCTTCTATTCTTTCCTGCACTAGGATATAACCAACCAGCTTGGTGGGAAAAATTAAATGTTAACTGATACCCCAAAAATTGCTAGGATAAATGTATGTGTAGAATGAGTTTGTTCTTATGGCACGACTGCCAATCACAGTACGACTTCAGTGATAAGCAATACAACTTCTTTTTGTGACAGTTTGAAAAGAAAAGTTGCATGTTTGCTGACTGCCCTCTTGGGATGCAAGGACATTCAATCGCCTTGAAATGTAAGTCTTTAAACTTAAGCACGGAAATTAAACACCTTTTGGGTGACTGCTGACAGATTTTAAGATTCTTTGTCAAGATCTCAGCCCCTTCTACACTGCCTACAGGTTATCATAGGAGAAAATCCACTTCTGATTTGAACTGGATTATCTGAGACCCCTTCCACACCCAGTTGAAAGCAGATAATCCAACATTGGGCCCTTCCACACAGCCCTATATATCAGAATATCAAGGCAGAAAATCCCACATTATCTGAGTGGACTCAGATTACCCAGTTCAAAGCAGTTATTGTGGATTATCTGCTTTGATATTCTGGGTTATATGGTTGTGTGGAAAAGCCCTTAGTCTACACTGCCATATAATCCAATTCAAAGCAGATAATGTGGATTTTATACACATTAAAGAAGGGGCCCAAGAAGGCAGGAATCGCTCCCTCTCTCTTCAGATGTTTTTATTCAGACAGGCTGTGCTACAACTGAAAGGGATGTTTGTTGTGTTTTTTGTTATGGCATTTTGGAGCTTCAGTTTTTAATTCATCTGTTTTATATTTTTAAATTTGTCCTCAATCTGCTTGGGCTTTTACTTGGAAGCTGCCTTGAGTCCTAACTTTGTGGAGGAAGTAAGGTATAGGTATAGCACTCATGGTTTCATCTATCCACATCTGCCAAGATATGCCCTCTAGTCTTTCAGGTGATTCTATATGCTCCTACCAGAGGTCACCATAGAACCATCCTGGAGGTCCTAACAAATTCTTAGAGAGGATATCTTCAGGGTGGCTCTATGGCAGTGGTTCTCAACCTGTGAGTCCCCAGATGTTTTGGACTTCAACTCCCAGAAATCCTAACAGCTGATAAACTGGCTGGGATTTCTGGGCCAAAACACCTAGGGACCCTCAGGTTGAGAACCACTGCTCTGTGGTAACTTCTGGTGGAAGTCATTAATTTCGTTAGGATTTGCAGTTGTCCATAGTTTCTATTGTAGGTCCAGGAATGACTATCCCATGGACACTGTAAATCATTGCAAGGCAAGGCAACACAGCTTTGTTAGTTTGACTGCTTTTAGTGCCTTTGTTGGATGCAGAGGTGGCCCTAGGTAATTTTCAACGGTAAGCAAACAGTATCCCCCCCCCCCCCAAACCAATCACTGATATATATTTTCTGTTCATCGTGGGAGTTCTGTGTGCCATATTTGGTTCAATTCCATCATTGGTGGAGTTCAGAATGCTCTTTGATTGTAGGTGAACTATACATCCCAGTAACTACAACTTGCATATGTCAAGGTCTATTTTCCCCCAAGAGCGCCTCAAGAGCACCCCTGGGCAAAATGAACTATACTGCAAATGCTTACTTTGCGTAATGAGTTGAGCCGCCCCTGGTTGGATGGCACAATTCAATTAAATGAATTGTGGCAGTCACCTAAGCAAATCTACTCTTGCTTCCCAGGACAATTAAAAAAGGAGGAATTGCAGGAATTGTAGTGCAACATTTGGAGAGCTTCTTTTTTTTCAATCTTGGTTTAAAGGAATGTGGCCACTGTAATAGGAGATACTTCTTGGTAGCTAAGGCCGAAGATACATTCATTATCAGAGACAAGCAACCTGCTGCTTTTTGGGTGCAAATCTCACTGGATTTCACCATTGGTTGTGCTGGGATGAGAGCTGCAGTCCAACAGCATAAGTAGCTTCTCTTTCATTCAGTCATATAGGTTATTTTTTTAAAGTTCCTCCATGCAACTTTAAGAAATATAACTTGTATCTGTGCCACTTTTTTCAACCATCAACATATTTGGGACAAAATCTACTGTTTGCATTGTATCTGTTGACATATGAGAAATTTGTTTCCAATTATTCCAAGTCGCTCATGGTCTGACAGATGACAAGGTGGTACATTCAACTTGCTAGTGGAGGAGTCATTGGAATGTTCCAATTGGTTTGTCACAAGGATTTCAGTTTCTTCTTTATCTCTTCTATGGCAACTACCCAACCACCCAAAGCTGTCTGGAGGTAGAAACCAAATGGAAGCTTGACTCAGCCTGGAAGACAGAAGGGACTCCATTATCTCCTCTCTGAAAGAGTGGTTGCTGGGAAGGAGGAAGATCCAAATGGTACTTGGTTCCAGCCAGATTAATGCAACAAGCCTTCAAAACGTATATTCCCTCAAGGATGCATCTACACCAGGCATGGGCAAACTTCAGTCTTCCAGGTGTTTTGGACTTCAACTCCCACAATTCCTAACAGCTGGTACACTGACATATAGTCCAGATTATCAAAGCAGATCAACACTTATCTGCTTTGAACTGGATTTTATCAGCCTACACCAGGCATGGGCAAACTCAGTTTCTCCAGGTGTTTTGGACTTCAAAGAGTTTGCCCATGCCTGATCAACACTGTAGAACCAATGCGGTTCTATACCTCTAACTACCATGGCTCAATGCTATAGGATCATGGTTGTAGTTTGATGAGGCACCAACACTTTTTGGCAGAGAAGGATAATGATTTTGTAAAGCTACAACTTCTATGATTCCATAGCATTTAGCCATGGCATTTAAAATGGTAAAAAAAAAACTGCATTAATTATACAGTGTGTAGATGATCCCTAGGTAGCACAGTTGCCTGGGAAACAGTTCTGGGAGAAGATCCCAAATTGGCTGCCCCAAACAAAAAATCCTGTACTGCTTTGCCTCTTCATCAGGGTCAGCCAGGTTCAAACACATAGTACAGCTGAATGAAACATGTTTTTCTTAACTTGCAAAACTCTGCTTTCAAGGATTTCCCAAAGGGACTGGGTTTTGGCTCCTAGCATCCCTTTACACTGGCTTTGTAGTGCAGATATTATGGGAATTGTAGTACAATATTGGGAAGAGTACAAGTTTGATTGTTTTTGAAGGCCCCTTCCACACTGTCCCTATATCCCAGGATCTGATCCCAGATTATCTTATTATCCCAGGTTATCTGGCAGAGGAGACCCATATAATCCAATTTAAAGCAGATAATCTGGGATCAGATCCTGGAATATAGAAGGGGCCTTAGTTGCTTGAAAAGTCTACTGCCACTTGAATAAAAATATGGGGTTTATTAGGGGTTTAAATAAATGCAAGCTTATTGTTGTGTAAGAACAAAACAAAACTTGAGCAAGTCTCTGGGAGAGTATCCATGCTGAATGCCAATGCAATAGAGCCTGTGTTTGAACATAGGGCTCTTGAAAACAATCGAAAAGCAAACTTGGATCTCTAGGCAAACTTACCTAAGCACAATAAACTTAACCAAAAGAACAGGGAGAGTTTGTTTACTGTTAGAGTAACCCGTATCCAGGGCTGAGCTGGTATACAAAAATATAAAACAGGGCAACCCAAGATGCAAAATATGTCACCCTCCAAACAAACGTAGAGCTTGGAAATAATATATTAGGAGTAATAAAGTAAATGGGAAGGAGGGGGGAGGAGCTGGAAATCCCAGTCAAGCACCCAGAGGGCCATACATTCCCCGTTCCATTTGAATCCTCAACCTACATTTATCCGGTATTGTTTAAACTGGAGAGCTGTCAGATATCCCTCCTGGTCAAATCCTCAGGTGTTTACTTGGCACCATTCTATATATTTAAGACTGATTTCCTGCTCATCTAGAAAAGTTGGTAGGTTACTTTGGCCCAGCTGCAAATCATCTTTCCCTACTTCACTAGTTTGTTGAAGAGGACATTGTAATGGAACCATGTAAGTCACCCTGGGATCCTCAGCAGAAAACTCGGTGATGAATTTGCTCTGGATGTTAGTCCAAATTTTAAAGGAGCTCTCCAGTATGCTAAATAGAAGGTTTTTGGCGTTGTGTGTCCTGAAGTTATTTCTGACTTAAGGAGATGCTATTGCAAGGTTTTCTGGGGCTGAGATGGTGTCACCTGCCCAGAGTCACCCAATGAGTTTTCATAGCTGAATGGGGGGATTTGTGCCTTGGTTTCCAAAGTTATAACCAAACACTCAAACTAACTACCTCCCCAAAAGGTTCGGTCTATCGCCCAAGCTAAAACCCAGAAGGAATTATTTGAGTGACATAAGAACTATCAGTTTAGGATGAGCCAAAAAAGTTGTCCCATTTTGTTCCTGGCTGGAAAAGACTGAGACAAAGCCCCCTTCTACACTGCCATATAATCCAGTTTATCAAAGTAGATAATCCACACTGTCTGCTTTGAACTGGATTATATCAGTCTACACCAGGCATGGGCAAACTCTGACCCTCTGAGTGTTTTGGACTGCAACTCCCACAATTCCTAACAACCTAAAGACTTTTAGGAATTGTGGGAGTTGCAGTCCAGAACACCTGGACAACCAAAGTTTGCCCATGCCTGGTCTACACTGCCATACATTCCAGTCCAAAGCAGATAATCCGGATTTTACGTAGCAGTGTAGATGGGACCGAACTCTTTCTTCTTTCTTTCCCTCAGCCTCCCTCTCTTTTTTAGATTTGTGATATGATGACTAAGACCAGAACTACATACAGAACAGAAGGTCTCATAGCATCACAGAAGAGTTGGGGAAGACCACCATGGTTATTCAGCTCAGCCAAGCAGGAACACAGTCAAATCACTCCTGACAGATGGCCATCCAGGCTCTGCTTACAAACCTCCAGAGAAGGAGACTCCACCACACTCCCAGACAACATAATCATTCCACTTTTACTGTCAGGATGTTCTTCCTAATGCCTGAGTGGGATATATTTTCCTGCAGGTTGAATCCATTGCTCTGTGCCTAGTCTCCAGAGCAGCAGAAAACAAGCTTACTCCCTCTTTAAGGCGACGTCCTTTCCAATGTTTAAGCATGGCTCCTCTCAGCCTTCTCTTCTCCAAACTAAGCCACTCCTGATTGGTCTTCCAGACTTCAAAGCAGGAATGGGTAAACTTGGTCCCTCCCTCCTGGTGTTTTGGACTTCAACTCCCACCATTCCTAACAGCCTACCGGCTGTTAGGAATAGTGGGAGTTGAAGTCCAAAACACCTGGAGGGCCCATGTTTGTCCATGCCTGCTTTAACCATTTCCCTTCTTTGGCCACTTTCTACGAGCCTGCCCAATTCCTGCTTGCATTGTGGTGCCCAAAAGTGGGCACAGTATGATTCCAGGCGAGGTCTGACCAAAGCAGAGTGGGACGGTGACTTTCCTGATCTCGACACTGAACTCCTGTTGAGTCCGCCTAGAAGAGACCCCCGCCCTCCCCTGGACACTCAGTGGCCTCCTTCTGGAAGCCAGCCCGGGACCCTTCTTCCCTGGGTCTTTCTCCCTTCCTTCCTTCCTTGCACTCACCAGTTCCCCGCCCCGATGATGCAGACTTTCTTCGGAGGCATCTTGCTGCTGGCTCCGGACCCGCCGAGCCTCCTGCAGCGCCGGACCCGAGAGCCTTCGAGCCTCCTAAGGAGAGACAGATAGAGAATGAGAATGAGAGAAGGAATGAGAGCAAAGGCGTGAGGCTCCCCGACCTGCTGCACCGCAAGCGCCTCCCCTACAAAGACCAGGGGGAGCCACCCGAGTCGGAAGAGAGGCGCGTGGAAGTGGGCGTGGAGGATCAGCCTCCTAAGGCCTCCTTTGGGTCCGCAGGAGAGGAGGGGAGGGGAGGGGAGAGGAGAGGAGGGGTAACAACTGGGAGGCGAACTTCGAACCACACCTTCCCGTTGAGGTATGTTTTCCACGAACCTGGGGCTTGAAGAAACTCAGGCAGAGCAAAGGAACGCGTGAAGGAACGCGAGTGGCGACTCCAGTAGCAGCTGCTCCGAGTGGGGAAGCGGCAGGTAAGGAAGACCCTTTGAACCTAAACACCCTAAAGCAGGTATGAGCAAACTCAGGCCCGTGTGGGCCAGATGTGGCCCCTTGGGCTCTTTCCACAGGCCCTCCTCTCTTTCACCATCCTATCCTTCCTTCCTTCCCTCTTGTCTTTCCTTCTTTCTCCTTCCCTCCCTCCTTCTCTCCTTTCCTTCCTCCCTTCCTTCCTCTTCTCTTCCTTCCTCCCTCCCTTCTTTCCTTCTCTTTTCCTTCTCCTTCCTTCTCTCCCTCCCTCCTCCCTCCTCTCTCTCCTTTCCTCCTCTCCTTCTCCTTCCACCCTTTCCTTCTTCCTTCTTCCCTCTTTCCTCCCTCCCTCCTTCCCTCTCTCTCCCTTCCTTCCTTCCTTCCTTCCTTCACTTTTGTCTTTCCTTCCTTCTCTTCCCTCTCTCCTTTCCCTCCCACCTTTCCTTCCATATTTCTCTTCCTCCCTCCTTTCTCTTTTTCCTTCCTCCTTTCCTCCTGGGGATGTTTAGCTGGAAGAAGAGAAGGTAAAGCTGAACGAATCATGGTTTACGTTTTCAAAGGGTGTCCCATTAAGGAGAAGGAATACTGACTTTCTGCTGCCCTAGAGACCAGGACACAAGGGAGGAATGGGTTCAAGTGGCAGGGAAAGAGATTGGACTGAAAAGATTAGGAAGAACTTCCTGAGAGTAAGAGCTGTTGGAGAGTGGCGTCCGCTGCCTGGAAGTGTGGTGGAGTCTCCTTCTCTGGAGGCTTTTCTGCAGAGGCTGTCTATCAAGAGTGCTTTGATTGTGCCTTCTTGCATGGCAGGGGGTGGGACTGGATGGCTCCTAAGGGTCTCTTGCAGCTCTAGGATTCTCGATTAGGAGTAGGCAATGCGGGGTCTCATGGATACACATTTCCTCTCCCGTCCACCATCTCATCGCAACCAAGGCCAACTCTTTTGGGATCCAAGCGTTTCCCATCTTTCCTTCATGTTCTGCCTCCCAAAGAGAAGAGGAAGGGGAGGAAAGGGTAGGGAGGGGGCTTGGGGAGAACCTCCTCCAACCTGGCCCGTCACCCCTCTCCGGCCCACCATGCGGCCCCCAAGCTAGAAAGTTTGCCCATGTCTGCCCTAAAGGCACCAGATCCAAGCATGGCAACTAAGTAGGATCAGCCCTGGTTAGTAAATGCAAGGAATACCGGGTGCTGTAGGCTCTATTGCAGGCTGGATCTACACTGCCTGATTTCCCAGGATCTGCTCTCAGACTCTTTTCTTCATTTTGACTCCAGAAGGCTTTCAGAGGGAGGAGCTGGCCAAACCACCTCCTTGACAAGAAACTTGACATGCCACACACAGACCCATGCACACATTTGCAAGCAGACTATGTAAGGTTTGAAGTTTGGTTCAGGTCTTTGTAAGAGAAAAATCAGAACCCTTGTTTGACAAAGAGACAGCTGTCTTTCTCAAGAGGGAGATGTTACGCTTCTCTCTGACAACTTCTACCTGTTTGCCTTGCCTGTCCCTATTTCAATGGAAAGCAAATATCAGTCAACAACAAGACTTCATTATGGTCTATGACCAGGGACTTCTCCAATGCAGGGTGCTGAAGGCACATTGGACTACAGCTCCCATTGCCTCCAACTAACATGGTAACTCTCACTGCCTAATGAGATGGGATGCCATGGAAGTTTCTTTATTCTTTGGTGACTGTGTTCTGGGAAATGTTGAAGCAAGCAGGTACAAATTATTCTATTTTATTTATTTACCATACTTATATTCCTCCCTTCTCAGCCTGAAGGGGACTCAGGGAGGCCTTACAAAGGCAACAATTTGATGCTGCGTGAACACACATCATCAATAAATAAACCAAAACATTAAAACACTAAAACCAACCAGTTAAAACATCACATTAAAACCACATAATCCTGGTCATAATCCAGGACCAGTCCAAGTCATCAATGTTAATTTATAATCTCTTATTGCGCTGCTCCCATTACTGACCAAAGGCCTAATTCCAGAGCCATGTTTTTAGATTTTTCCTGAAGGCCAAGAGGGAGGGGCCAATCTAATTTTGCTGAGGAAGGAGTTTCACAGCTAAAGAATCACCACTGAGAAGGCCCCACCCGTCGCGCTTGCGAGAGGGGTGGGACTGAGAGCAGGGCCTCCCCCAACTATCTTAGTATCCAAGGTGGATCATAGATGGAGATACATTAGGACAAGTAAACTGGGCCGGAACCATTTAGGGCTTTATAGGCTAAAGCCAGCACTTTGAATTGTGCTTGGTAGCAGACTGGTAGCCAGTGGAGCTGACACAGCAAGGGAGTTGTATGCTCAATTCACCCTGATCTAATGCAGATATTTCATCTGAGGTTTCTGTTTCAATCCGGTGTAACCTAGATACTGGAGAACGGGTAATCTTTCTACTTTAGTTCAACTGAAATTTGAGAGATAATAAGTTTAGGGTGTAGTCTTTACGGCTGTATGAGTTTCAGTGGCCAACATTTTCATTCCAAGTTATTAGCGGAGCCAGCGTGATCTAAGACCTTTCGATGTTAACTTTCAAACATAATATGGAAGACTGTATACAGATGCTGAGATTATGGGATATGACTTCCTAGATTGGAAAATGCTCTGAATTTGGGTAAACGTGCTCAGCTTTGCTGTTTAAAGGAAATACTAATTGTAAGACCTAAAGATAATGTTACTCATGTACTCTGTTCACATATCCGGACCACAATATAAACAACAACCCTGAGTTTGGGCTAGTAGTCCATTGAATTTTTATCAGTTAGGATTCTTTGCTTGCAGAAGGATGGGTATGATTACAAAGAGGTTGCTCAAGGCCTGTCATGCTAATCTTTTGGTACAAGGTCCAGTGTAGAGCAAAATGACCAGGCCAGATCCAGAGGGAGGCAAAGGGTGCATCTATACTGTAGAATCAATGCAGCTTAAGACATCTTGAACTGTCATGGCTCAATGCTATGGAATCCTGGGAGTTGTAGTTTTAGAAGCTGCTTGGCCTTCTCTGTCAAAGTGTGCGGGTGCCTCACCAAACTACAAATCCCAGGATTACATTGAGCCACAACAGTGGTGTCAAGATGCATTCTTTAGACAGTGTAGATGCACCTCAAAACAGAACCGAGTCCCCTTCTACACTGCCATATAAAATCCAGATTATCGGCTTTGAACTAGTTTATATGGCAGTGTAGACTTATATAATAATCCAGTTCAGAGCAGATAATGTGGATTATCTGATATGATGACCTGGATTATATGGCAGTGTAGAAGAGGCCTGAGTCTACACTGCCAGATAATCTGGGCTTAAGTAGATAATCTGGGATCAGATGTTGGGATTTAGGGCAGTGTAGCTCCAGCCCAAGTAAGGTTAAAAGTAAAGGATTAGTTTGAATGATGGGAAGACCTGTCTATCAACTATTATTATCTCCAATTATTCTACCTTAAATGTCTGTATTCAAAGGCAAGTGAACTTAGTGGCCAAATGTCAGGGAGGAAAAAACAAGGGGTGGCAACCTCCACCATGTTCTGCCTGTTTGTGAAGGCTTATTTAGCTTGTGGTTTTTGGAAAAGGTTGGGGGAGTCAAAACAGATGGAAACAGGAAGGCTTCCTGACAGCCTTATGTTCTCCACCTTGTACAAATTTGAAGTAACCAATGTTTCTATTCAGCACTTCGAAGCCAAAGGTGATACAGTGCTGAAGTGACAGTACAGCCAGCCCTCCATAATTAACATTGGTGGATTTGATTAATATGTCTTCTCTAGAAATCTCTACAACCTCCATCATAACTGTATGGTCAACATCATGCTGGAGGACCTAGAGGTTCCCAGGGGAACACTTATCCGGGATATTGCAGGTCCTCCAGTGCAAGCTATTTACTCAGCTTAGTAGGGAGTGCAAATTGGAGATAGATGTTGTCCCTTTCATGGTTGTGTAGAAGAGGGAATTTCAGCAGGCGCTGCTTGTTACCTAACTGTGTGACAAGAAAAGGCTGCTGGACTCCCTCTTCTAAATCATCAGAACAGTGGTTCTCAACTTGTGGGTCACCAGATGTTTTGGCTTTCAACTCCCAGAAATCCTAACAGCTAGTAAACTGGCTTGGATTTCTGGGAGTTGTAGGCCAAAACACCTGGGGACCCACAGGTTGAGAACCACTGTGTTAGAAGCACAGGAGTTGTCTCTATAGTTTTCAATCAGATAGTCCTATGGCTCAGTTCTTTCTTTACAGTTACAAAAGGCACATTTACACGGTAGAATGAATGTGCTTTGACACCACTTTAACTGCCATGGCTGAATGCTATGGAATCCTAGGAGTTTTAGTTTGGTGAGGCATGAATGTGAGGATTTGTAAAAAGACAGCATGATGTAATGGGTTGACTGGAAAGACATGTGCCAGCAGCTGATTGGCGGAGCATGCCAGGAACCCGAATTCTGATTAGCTACTGTCTCTAGCTTGCTGTTGAGAGAAACGGTTTTAACTGCTATCTTTCATCTGAGAGAGTGAAGAGAGTGCTGACTGGAAACAGCCAGGAAGGAAATGGCTGCCAACTCTCTGAAGCCTGATCATTTCTAAAGCATGAAGTATATTTAAAAGACTATTTAAAAGGACTGTTTATTCCTTCTGTAAGAATTCAGAGAGACTGCTATATATATTGTTGCTCTTTTTTATTGGGGGACACATCACTGAAGTAAAGTTACTGTTACCCATTATACAAATCTGAGTGACAAATTATTATACTGCAGGACATATTTTGGTTCAGAAACAGTGGTAAAGCTTCTGTTTATTTATATCTACAACCTCCAACAATGAGCACTCTTG